GAGGCAGCCCAGTTGGTGCTGCTGCCCAGCAGCGCCTCTGCCAGCTTCCCACAGTGCGGGCCCCTGCTGCCCGGGTGGGACCAACGGAGCACAGGCCAGCAGCCCTGGGCGCGGACCCGGCCCCCTGCTGCTGCCCCCCAGGGATGCATGGTGTTCTCTGTCCCCACGCAGGCGAGACGACACCTACTGGCCGGAAGCCAAGCGGGCTGCGCTGGACGAGCGCTATCACTCGGACTTCAACCGGCAGGACCGTTTCCACGACTTTGACCACAGGGACCGGGGCCGCTACCCCAACCACTCGGTGGACAGGTGCGTGGGGGCCCTGCGTGCGTCTCCGACGGGAGCAGAGGCTGGCCGTTCCCAGCCCTGGGCGCTCTCCACCCACTTCAGCCGCGTGTGGGGCCAGCCCCGCATCCCTGGCCTCGCGCCAGGCGACAGCGTCGGCCTCTGCTGGCCCTGCCCCCTCTGCTGCTGGTTTGATTTGAACTCCCTTTTTCAGGAGAGAAGGTTCGCGATCCATGATGGGAGAACGAGAAGGACAGGTGAGTCGGAGCCACGGTCTGCACGCTGCTTTCGCTACAGTGCGCCCCCTCATCCCGCCTTGCGAGGTGGGGAGCGCAGCACCCCTGTCGGAGGGATGTCGCCGGGTGTGTGTGCGTCTAGAGTTCTCGGTGCCCTTGCACGGGGTTCCGTGGGCCGTCTGCGTGACCACACGTGTCTGCGATGCTGCTGTGTCGCCGTGTCCCCGCCCAGGCCTGCTGCAGCCGTCCTCTACAGAACAGAGAGAGGGCGCAGAATCGGCACAGAGCTCGGTTTTCCGTGCTCCCCTGCATCCGCTGGGGTTCAGGCTGTCCCGGCAGGGCCCCCGCCTTGCTCGCAGGGCCATGGTTTTTTGTTTGTTTTTTTTTTATAAGATTTATTTTTATTATTTTTTAATTGGAAAGGCGGATATACACAGAGGAGAGACAGAGAGGAAGATCTTCCATCCAATGATTCACTCCCCAAGTGAGCGCAACGGGCCGATACTATGCCAATCCGAAGCCAGGAGCCTCTTCCGGGTCTCCCACGCGGGTGCAGGGTCCCAAAGCTTTGGGCCGTCCTCGACTGCTTTCCCGGGCCACAATCAGGGAGCTGGGTGGGAAGTGGAGCTGCCGGGATTAGAACCGGCGCCCATATGGGATCCCTGCATGTTCAAGGCGAGGACTTTAGCCACTAGGCCACGCCGCCGGGCCCACCAGCTTTTCTTGACTTGCATGTGGCTCCCTTTTGAGCCTTACGTCCACCTGCCTCGCTTCCTTAGTGTAGCTGAGGGGACGGCCCTTCCGCTCTCCCAGGAGAACCCGAGGGACCCTTGGTCCCTGCTGTGGCAGTGATGAGATGCAGTGCCATGGCGAGCCAGCCTGCGTGAGGTTTGTGCAGGCAGGGGAGGGCAGCCCAGTAGTGAATGTCCAGGCTGCAGAGTTTGGGAGGACAGGCCCCGGGGAGCGTCTGTCCATGTGCACCAGGACAGGAGGGTGTGATGTGTGCCATGTCACACCTGGGCTCAGGTGCCAGCTGCCTTTCCTTGCTGCCCAGGAGGGGTGGCACACTGGCCCCAGTGACCAACGCTGACACTGGACCCGAGCCATCCTTCGGGACCTGGTGAAGCTAGTGTGGGTCGGAGAGGCGGCGGCCGGGCAGGTCTGAAGTGACAGGGAGGGAGGCTGGTCCTGAGAAGCAAGTCTTGCCACGCGTCCCCTCCCATGTGGGCTCCTGAGCCAGAGGCCGTGACGCAGCCTGCCAGGCCTGAGCTCTGCCCTGCAGGACACCTGAGCCTGCGGCACCGGGGCTGCCGTCGTGCGCAGGTGGGGGGGGATGGTCACCGGGGAGACCCGGGCTTGTGGTGCTGTGTGCTCTGGGCAGGTGAATGTGGATTGACGAGACAGTGGAGTGTGCAGAGGGGCCGCTCTGGCGCTGTTCAGCTGTGTTGGCTTGTGAGGCAGCAGCCCCAAGGGCCGTGGCCCCTGAGAGTCTGGGTACAGCAGTCTCCCCGCTGCACAGACAACCTCTGGGGTAAAATTTACCTTCACTGTAAAAAAATGTGCTTTAGGTGGCGGCTTCAGACAGCAGGTGGAACAGGCCCAGGAGCCCACGGCCTGCTGGCCGCACAGCCGACAGCAGCTAGGACTCGGAGCAGGGAGTGGGTGGTTGGCCGAGTGGACCTAACAGAGGCGCCAGGCTTTGGAGGGGCCCTGCGGACTGGGATCCCAAAAGGGGCACGATGGAGTCACTGCGTGGTTTACTCCTGTGTAGCTCGTGGAGATTGTGCCATCTGTGGCAGCCGCTCAGGGACAAGGGGCCGTGACGTGTAACTGAAACACTGGTACAAGGTCGAGGTTTACAAGCTGGGGTTCCTTCATGGTTGCCACGGTCAGCCAGGAGCCAGGAGCCGCATGCAGGTCGGCTCTGTAGACGCAGGGCTGAGCACTGGAGCCATCTCCCTCCCGCGCGGGGAGCTGGAGCCACGCCACGGGCTGGCTCTCCGGGAGGCTGCTCTGGCAGAGACCGCACCTGGACGCCTTGGGCCTGCCTTGCCCTCACTGTTGTGGGTGTCCTGCCTGTCCCCATCCTGCCCAGGGGCATCAGCTGTGGCCGCCAGCTTCCCCGGGGGCTCCGGGCCTGGGCTTGGTTCCTGACCTTCCCTTTCCTTCTGGCTCTTTCCAGCATTACCCCGAGCGCCACGGAGGACCCGAGCGCCACGGCCGAGACTCCCGTGACGGCTGGGGCTACGGCTCAGACAAGAGGATGAGCGAAGGCCGGGGACTGCCCCCGCCCCCAAGGTTTGTGTCCCCCACCTCCCACGTCAGCTGGTGCGCAGTGAGCACCCAGGGCCCAAAGCCCACCCCTGCACCCCTGCGCGGAGGGGTGAGGCACAGCTTGTCCTCGGAGCCGGGGCAGCCCAAATCAGAGATGTCTCTTTCCAAGGGGCAGACGCGAGTGGGGGGACCACAGCCGGCGGCTGGAGGATGAGCGGGCGTGGCAGGGCGCCGCCGACGGTGGCATGGTGGACCGGGATCACAAGCGGTGGCAAGGTAGGGGAGCGGCTCCTGCTGGACCGGGGTGGCAGAGGGCTCGTGCCCAGGGCTCCGGGCACAGCATATCCTGTATTCCAGGTGGAGAGAGAAGCATGTCGGGCCACTCGGGGCCGGGCCACGTGATGAGCCGGGGAGGCCTGTCAGGGTAAGGGGCCTGCCCATGCCTCCCACGCCTCCTTCCTGCTCAGCCTGCGGGGTCGCGGGGGGCCCTGCTGGGCCACAGGGAACTCCACAAACCGAGGCCTGCCTCTGTTGCAGGCGGGGCAGCTTTGCGCCTGGCGGGGCCTCCCGGGGCCACGTGATCCCACGCGGTGGCATGCAAGGTGGCTTCGGAGGACAGAGCCGGGGGAGCCGTCCCAGCGACGCCCGCTTCACCCGCCGTTACTGAGGCCTCGGGCGCCCGTGTCCTGTCATCCCCGGCAACCAGGGGGGCCCTGGGAGTTCACCGCAAACCTTGTACAAATCATTTTTTATCTGCTGCCACGTTCTAGCTAAATACAATGTGAATTTGTTTCTTGTTTTTGTTCTCGTTTTTTGTAATAAACGTGTTTCTGTTCATACACTTTAAAGTGTCATTTTGTACATTTTCTGCCTGTGTGGCACACCGAGGCGAGCCCTCTCCTGTCGCGCTGGCATCCGCTTGGCCACCAGCTCGGTCCTGCGCCCAGGGAGGCCCGGACGCGCCTCAGGATTGGTGGAAGAGCTTTTCTCTGTGTGACTCTCGTTTCGAATAAATAAGTTTACTAAACTCAGTTGTGCTCTGTGTGGTTGAGCCCCAGCTCCTCCCTCAGGAGCTTCCAGAAGCCAGGGGTCTGGCTGGAGGACCTGTGGCGGCCAGCGTGAGGGACAAGCGGGTGGCTTTGCATCCCCTGGGAGCCCTGCCCGTGAGTCTGCCATCCCCAGGCTGTGCACGCCTCGCCACGTCACAGGACTCCAGTGTTTCCAGGGTCATGCCGTGTGGGGCCGGGCAAAGCTGCCCCCTGCCATGCCAGCGTCCCCCACTGCACCATCCTGTCCAGCCCCCTGCTTGTGTGCTTGTGCCACTGCACCCACGGGGGAGCACCAGGGACCCTGACTGCCCTGGCCAGGCGACGGGAGACCTGTTGCTTTGCTTTAGTGTTGGGAAGTCGGATGTTTATTTTGCTGTCAGATTTTTAAAAGGCAGGATCGGTGCAACTGCTCTTCGACTCCCCAGAAGGCCCTGGCAGCAGGGAGCTCCCACGTGGGTGGTGGGCACCCAGGGACCCATGCCGTCACCTGCACTGCCCTCCAAGATGCACTAGTGGCAGCTGGGCCATGATGCCCACCCCAAACACCTAATAGAACTTTCTGCTGGCTTCATAACGCCCTCACCCCTGTGTCCCTCCAGACGGGGGCCAGTTCCAGCAACGTGTCGGACACGGACACGCCTGGTACGGTGCAGGGCCTGCCCCCTGCCTCCACACTCAGCCCAGGCACCACGCCGAGAGCAGCTCGGCCAGACGGCAGGCTCAGACGTGCGCCTGACTGAGGATGGGCACGCTGGGCGCACGCGCTGGGGCTGAGGGCTGCCGAGGTCTAGGATCACTGCGAGGCAGCAGGTACTCGCCACCAGGAGACCTGGATGGAGCCGCCCCCCGACGGCCGCTGCTCGGGACACTGGCACATCCACCTCGCACATCCTGGCCTCCGGTGCCCAGCACCAGCCCGGACGACAGCACCACTCCTAGAACCCAGGCCAGTGTACGGCTCCCCACCACACCCAGAGCAGACCCTGAGCTCCACTCGCCCTACCCAGCCTCGTGGGACACCCACTGGTGCTGTGGAGGTGCGGGGAGCAGGACCCGGAAGAGCAGGGGGCTTGGCCGTGGGCCCCGGGACGGGATGGAGACAAGACCCCTTAACCTGCGGTCCAGGGGGGCAGCACACAGGTCAGCAGTGGCGGGGTACTTGCAAAGTCCTTTATTGGGCCAGGCCAGGCCGTGAGCTGCCGCTGTGGGGTGTGGGGTCCCGGCGTCCAGGCAGCCGTCCACTACTTGATGCGTTCCCTCACGTACTCCCAGCCCTGCCTGGAGTACTCGTGGGCCTTGGCGGGGGCGGTGGACAGCGCCGACATGACCCTCAGGATGCCTGCGGGGAGCAGTAACCCCGAGGGGAAACAGCCATGGGGCTTACACAGACCCGCCCCTAGACATGTCCTCCCTTCCTTGTCCCCGGGTCCCCAAAGAGGCACGCACAAAGCAAGGAAGCAAGGGGAGCAGGAAGCAGGGGGCTGGGGGGGGGGTGTTGGTCCCAAGCTGAGGGGGCAGGACGCTACCTGAGTTCCAGGTGTCCTGGATGGGGAAGTTAATCTTTGGAAGAGCTGGAAGCTGGGGAAGAGAGGGGTACCAGGGGGCCAGTGAGGAAGGTAAGAGCTCCGGGGCCTCTCCCAGTTCCCCCATGCCAGCCCAGGGACCCCCCCGGGCCCCCATCCTGGCCCAGGGCATCGCCCCATGCCGGCCCAGAGCCAACCCAGTCCAGGGCCCCCCCAGTGCCCCCCATGCTGACCCAGGACCACCCTGGTCCCCTCCAACCCGGCCCAGGGGCCCCCAGTACCTGCGGCATCTGCAGGCCCGTCTGCTGGCAGACGTACTGGCTGAACTGGTACATGGCTGGGGGTACCAGCTCCTCGGCCTTGTGCAGGGCCGCCTCGCCCCTGTCACTGGAACCCAGCAGATCCTGGTCGTACGCCAGGTACACGGCGCCCCCGGCCACGCTGCCCTTGAGGAGGAACCTGCAGGGGACACACAGGCGCTCAGGCTGCACCCCAACCCCGCCAACCAGTACCCCACTATCCAGGGAGCTCAGGGAATGCCTCCCAGAGCTGACCCCTGACCCGTCCTGGACAGGGCTCCCCAGAGAGTCGGGTCCAGCCCCCCACTCACCCCATCACTCCCTCCAGCCCCCCACACCCCCCATCACTCCCTCCAGTCCCCCACACCCCATCACTCCCTCCAGCCCCCAAAACACCCCATCACTCCCTCCAGCCCCCAAAACACCCCATCACTCCTTCCAGCCCCCCACACACCCCATCACTCCCTCCAGCCCCCCACACACCCCATCACTCCTTCCAGCCCCCCACACACCCCATCACTCCTTCCAGCCCCCCACACACCCCATCACTCCTTCCAGCCCCCCACACCCCATCACTCCCTCCAGCCCCCAAAACACCCCATCACTCCCTCCCCACACCCCATCACTCCCTCCAGCACACCCCATCACTCCCTGCAGCCCCCCACACACCCCATCACTCCCTGCAGCCCCCCACACACCCCATCACTCCCTCCAGCACACCCCACACCCCATCACTCCCTCCAGCACACCCCACACCCCATCACTCCCTGCAGCCCCCCACACACCCCATCACTCCCTCCAGCACACCCCATCACTCCCTGCAGCCCCCCACACACCCCATCACTCCCTCCAGCCCCCAAAACACCCCATCACTCCCTCCAGCCCCCCACACCCCATCACTCCCTCCAGCACACCCCATCACTCCCTCCAGCACACCCCATCACTCCCTCCAGCCCCCCACACACCCCATCACTCCCTCCAGCCCCCCACACACCCCATCACTCCCTCCAGCACACCCCATCACTCCCTCCAGCACACCCCATCACTCCCTCCAGCCCCCCACACACCCCATCACTCCCTCCAGCCCCCCACACACCCCATCACTCCCTCCAGCACACCCCACACCCCATCACTCCTTCCAGCCCCCCACACACCCCATCACTCCCTGCAGCCCCCCACACACCCCATCACTCCCTCCAGCACACCCCAGCACCCCATCACCGCCCACCCCCCACCACTCCCTCCGGCACCCCACAATCCACCCAGAGCTGACCCCTGACCCGTGCTGGACAGGGCTCCCCGGAGAGTCGGGTCCAGCCCCCACACACCTCATCAGCGCCCACACTCGGGCCACCATGGTCACTCGGCTTCGCGAAGGACACCCGCTTCGCCCGCCGCTTCCGCCGGCGGGACCGCGCAGAGCACACTGGGAGTTGTAGTCTTGGGGAGGGGGACGCGAGCGAGCGGGTCCTACCGCAGAGAGGCTTCTGGGAAATGAAGGCAGGAGGAGACGCGACGGCGCCGCAAGGACGTCACTCACCCCTGGGCCGCGGCGCCTCCTGGGAAGTGCAGTCCGGACTTGGCCCTGGTGCTGTGAGCGGACAGAAAAGTCCGGAAAAGGAAGTCTAAGGTCGGAGTCGCCCGCGCGCGCCTGCACGGTTGCCACGGAAACACCAGAGCGAGGGGCGGGGCTTTTCCCGTCACGTGCTCGCACACTCACGGAGGTAGCCGGAACTTCCGTCCGCGGAGGGGGCGGGACCAGCGCCGGGAATGCCCGGGCGGAAGCCGTTGCCAGGGCAACGCCGGGGCGCGCTGTCCCCGACAACCCCCACCCCGCCCTCGAGGAAGCGGGCTTGGTGTCACGTGACTCGGGCCCTCCGGGAGGGGGCGCGCTCGGGGGGGGGACCCTGAGAAAGGCAGACCTTTAGGGGCGTCGGTGTGTCCCCCCCGAGCGAGGGCTGACGTGGGTGAGTGCTCCGTGGGGGACACGCCGTGGGGGCGCCTTTGTCTGGACGCTGAGGTCCGAGGGCAGCACTGCGAGGGCCCCCGTCTTCCCCCCTTGGACCCCCATCTTCCCCCCTTGGACCCCCATCTTCCTCCCTTGGACCCCCTTCCCTTCATCTCCACTTGGACCCCATCATCTCCCCTTGGACCCCATCGTCCCTCCTTGGACCCCCATCTCCCGTTGGACCCCCATCATCGCTTCTTGGGCCATCGCGCTGTCCAGAGTCCCCCGACCCACCTGCCTGCTGCCCCCTTCCTCTGTCCACCTCGACCTACCTGCCCGTCACCCTGTCCTCTGTCTACCCGACCCACCTGCCTGTCGCCCCTTCCTCCACCTGCCCATTGCTGCCCCTGTGTGTCCATCCCTGGAGCCCTGCTCTCCTATCTCCCAATCACTGTGGTCAGATCAGGGTTGGGGGGAGCCTGGGTGACCCACCACCCTGTAAGCTGTCCTGGACTTGGAACGTTGCTCAGGGGATTACCTGGCCTGGCCAGAAAAAGGGGAGGCATGAAGGGTGGGAAGGTCCCCCCAGGAGGAGGAGGAGGGCTCAGGGGTTCACACCTCGCTTGGCTCCAGGAGCTGCAGCAGAAGGGGAGCAGGAGGGCCAGGCACCAGATGCCCCATGCCACAGGTGTGGCTGTGGGTGGGCCCAGGCTTGCCCCCATCCCTCCCTCTCCAGGCCCAGGGGAGGGAGACCATGAAGCTACTACTGCTTGCAGGGCTGGGGGCCCTGTTCTTTGCCTACTATTGGGATGACCACTTCGACCCAGGTGAGTGTCTCTTGGGTGGAGGAGGAGGCAGGGCTCTGGCTGGCCGTCCGCTCCCGCCCCTCCAAGGCTGATAAACTCCTACCCCGCTGCCAGCCAGCCTCCAGGGAGCTCGGGTGCTACTGACCGGGGCCAGCGCGGGCGTTGGCGAAGAGTTGGCTTATCACTACGCACGCCTAGGCTCCCATCTGGTGCTCACGGCCCACACCGAGGCCTTGCTGCAAAGGGTGAGCCTGACAGCAGCCAGGGGAGGCCGGGGGACAGTGCCTGGGCTGCTCCACCTCTGCCATAACTGTGTCTCCAACCCTTGCCAGCTTCCAAACCCAGTGTTGGGGAAGAGGCCTTGGGGCCTGAGGCTCAGGGCAGGGGAGCGGGGCTTCAGGCTGCAGACCTCTCGGGACCAGCAGGTGGTGGTGGGAGGGGGCCAGTAGGTGGGGGACAGGTCCCCCACCCCCCATCTCCCCATCAGGTGGTCGGGAACTGCCGCAAGCTGGGAGCGCTCAAAGTTTTCTACATAGCAGCCGACATGGCCTCCCCCGAGGCCCCGGGACACGTGGTGCAGTTTGCACTGGACAAGCTAGGTGAGAGAAGGGTTGGCCTTGGTGTCGGCGGGAGGACTGGGATGGGGGTGGGGGAGTGTGGGGGTACTGTAGAGGGTGGAGATGTCTGGGGGTCCTGCAGGTGTGATGGAACAGAGTCACAGCCTCACTGCTCAGGGCGCTGGACAGGGCCAGGTGGGCTGGGGTCCAGGAGGGCTGGGGTCCAGGCGGGCTGGGGTCCAGGCGGGCTGGGGTCCAGGCTGGCTAGGGTCCAGGCGGGCTGGGGTCCAGGAGGGCTGGGGTCCAGGCTGGCTAGGGTCCAGGCGGGCTGGTGGGGTCCAGGTGGGCTGGGGTCAGGAGGGCTGGGTTCCAGGCGGGCTGGGGTCCAGGTGAGCTGGGGTCCAGGCAGGTTGGGTCCAGGTGAGCTGGGGTCCTGGCGGGTTGGGGTCCAGGTGAGCTGGGGTCCAGGCGAGCTGGGGTCCAGGCAGGTTGGGTCCAGGTGAGCTGGGGTCCAGGCGGGCTGGGGTCCTGGCGGGCTGGGGTCCAGGTGAGCTGGGGTCCAGGCGGGCTGGGGTCCTGGCGGGCTGGGGTCCAGGTGAGCTGGGGTCCAGGTGGGTTGGGGTCCAGGCGGGTTGGGGTCAGGATGGTTGGGGTCCAGGTGAGCTGGTGGGGTCCAGGCAGGCTGGGGTCCAGGCGGGCTGGGGTCCAGGCACCACGTGGGGCTGAGTCTCACACAGTGGGCGGATGCGGTCCGGGGGTGCCCAGGGCGAGTCTCGGGGTTCACTCCCCGCTGACCCCGTGTTTCTGCGCAGGCGGGCTGGACTACCTGGTGTTGAACCACATCGGCGGTCTCCCGGCCGGAACGCGCGTGCGCAGCCCCAAGGCAACCCGCTGGCTGCTGCAGGTGCTCCGCCCCCGTGCCGGCCACGCCCCGGGCCCGAGACCCCGCCCACAGGGCCGGACTACTGGCCCTGACCACGCCCTGCTTCCCGCCTCGGCCCCGCCTACAGGGCGAAGCACGTAGCCCTGGCCACGCCCCCACTTCCTGCCTTGATCCTGCCTACAGGGCGGGCTCGTAGCCCTGACCACGCCCTGCTTCCCGCCTCGGCCCCGCCTATAGGGTGGGGCTCCTAGCGCCGACCACACCCCACTTCCTGCCTTGACCCCGCCCATAGGGCGGGCTCCTAGCTCTGACCACGGCCTACTTCCTGCCTTGACCCCGCCTATAGGGCAGGCTCCTAGCTCTGACCACACCCCACTTCCTGCCTTGACCCCGCCTATAGGGCAGGCTCCTAGCTCTGACCACACCCCACTTCCTGCCTTGACCCCGCCTATAGGGTGGGGCTCCTAGCTCTGACCACACCCCACTTCCTGCCTTGACCCCGCCTATAGGGCGGGCTCCTAGCTCTGACCACACCCCACTTCCTGCCTTGACCCCGCCTATAGGGCGGGCTCCTAGCTCTGACCACACCCCACTTCCTGCCTTGACCCCGCCTATAGGGCGGGCTCCTAGCTCTGGCCACACCCCACTTTCTGCCTTGACCCGCCTATAGGGCGGGCTCCTAGCTCTGGCCACACCCCACTTCCTGCCTTGACCCCACCTATAGGGCGGGCTCCGAACCCTGCCACGCCCTGACCCCACCTACAGGGCGGGGCATTGCCCCTCCTACTCCTGGCCATACCCCTTTTGTCCAAGGCCCCGCCCCTGGGTGGGAACTCCCCGCCAACAGTCACCCCACCCCGGGCCACGCCCGTCATTCTGGGGCTCCACCCCTTCTCTGCGCTCCACCCTCCTGTGGCCCGGGCTCTAAGCTCCGCCCCTTCTCTAAGCTCCGCCCCGTGACGTGTGGGCTCCTGCTGCAGGTGAACTTCCTGAGCTACGTGCAGCTGACGTCACTGGCGCTGCCCAGCCTGACGGACAGCAAGGGCTCCCTGGTGGTGGTGTCCTCGCTGCTGGGTGGGTGCGCGGCCCTGGCTCCCCGGGGGCGGCCGGTGGGGTCTGCAGGGGCTCCCCGGGGTGGGGGTCCCCTGGGTCTGCAGGGGCTCCCCGGGGTAGGGGTCCCCTGCTCGGTGGGTGCATGGCATGGCCCGGCTCCCCGGGGGCGGCCGGTGGGGTCTCCAGGCTCCCTGGGGTGGGGGTCCCCCGGGTCTGCAGGGGCTCCCCGGGGTGGGGGTCCCCTGGGTCTGCAGGGGCTCCCCGGGGTAGGGGTCCCCTGCTCGGTGGGTGCACGGCATGGCCCGGCTCCCCGGGGGCGGCCGGTGGGGTCTGCAGGGGCTCCCCGGGGGGCGGCCGGTGGGGTCTGCAGGGGCTCCCCGGGGGGCGGCCGGTGGGGTCTGCAGGCTCCCCGGGGTGGGGGTCCCCTGGGTCTGCAGGGGCTCCCCGGGGTGGGGGTCCCCCGGGTCTGCAGGGGCTCCCCGGGGTGGGGGTCCCGGCCCCCTGCCCCTGGGGAGGCCTCGGGGAGCAGGCCGCTGAGGGCCGCCCTCCCGCACCCCCAGGCCGCGTGCCCGCGTCCTTCTCGGCCCCCTACTCGGCGGCCAAGTTGGCCCTGGACGGCTTCTTCGGCTCCCTGCGGCGGGAGCTGGGCGTGCAGGACGTGAACGTGGCCATCACCCAGTGCGTCCTGGGCCTCGGCGACCGCGCTTCGCCCTCCGAGCGCTTCAGGTGAGACCACCCGCCCCGGGGAGGGACGGGGGGCTGCCCAGGGGCGACCCCAGCACCCCCAGCACCCCCTGCACCCCCAGCACCCCCTGCACCCCCAGCACCCCCTGCACCCCCAGCACCCCCAGCACCCCCTGCACCCCCAGCACCCCCAGCACCCCCAGCACCCCAGCACCCCCAGCACCCCAGCACCCCAGCACCCCCTGCACCCCCAGCACCCCCAGCACCCCCAGCACCCCAGCACCCCAGCACCCTCTCCCTCCCTCCCTCCACCAGGGGCATCTCCAGAGCCAAGGCGGCCCCGGGACCCAAGGCTGCCCTGGCCGTGATCCGCGGCGGCGCCACGCGAGCGGCCGGGGTCTTCTACCCGTGGCGCCTGCACCTGCTGTGCCTGCTGCGGGCCTGGTGGCCGCACCCGCGGGCCTCGTGGTTCGTGCGCCAGGAGCTCAACGTCTCGGCTGCAGCTGCGGCCTGAACCGGGGACAGACCCCCGGGGGTCAAGGCGGACCCAGCACCGGGTGGACGCGGGGGACACGGGCCGGGGGCAGGCGGAGGCTGCGTGTCCCGGACACAGGTCGTGCTGCCCCGGAGCTCTGCTCTCCCGCCGCGGCTACCGTTGTCCTTGCTGTCCCTTCCCCGCCAGCACCCCCGGACTCCCAGCCAGGGACTCGGGGTGCTGCCGCGGGCTCCTGGGAGCAGCACGGGCTCTGCCACGCTCCCCGATTGTGTAATAAAAACAGACTCTTGCACACCTGTTTTTTTTTTATAAAGTTGTATTACTAGTTTTTTTTTTTTTTTTTTAAGCTTTATGGTTGAAAAGTCAATGAGAAAGAGAGACAACGTTCTTCCATCTGCTGGTTCACTCCCCTGTGTAGCCACAATAGCCAGAGCTGTGCCAATCCAAAGCTAGGAGCCAGGAGCTGCTTCCAGGTCTCCCATGTGGTGCAGGGTCCCAAGGCTCTGGGCCGTCCTCCACTGCTTTCCCAGGCCACAGGCAGGGAGCTGGATGGGAAGTGGAGCAGCCGGGAATAGAACCAGTGCCCCTGTGGGATCCTGGTGCATGCGAGGCAAGGACTTGAGCCACTAGGCTGTCATGCCCGACCCTCATACAGGTTAAAGGTTTCGGTTCTTCCCCCCTTGCTGGCAGGGTGGCCGCTGGGGCTTGCTCAGCCCACACCCGCCTCTCAGGGGGGAGGAAGGTGAGGCGGGAGCGAGGGCGGATGCGCTGGGGCCCAGGGGCTTTGCGGAAAATGCACTTGGGGGGGAGCGCTCCTGCTGCTGCGGTGCACCGGGCTGGGCCGGGCTGCAGCCGGGAGCGGGGCGGTCTGTGCTGGGGGGGCTCGCGTTGCGGGCTGGGCTCAGAGCAGGTGCGTCACGCGGTGGTGGTTGCACAGCCAGCGGGAGAGTGGCAGAGCACGGGCCTGGGGCTCTAAGACCAGCCGCACCCGGAGAAGAACCCCGGGTGCCGCACCTGCACTTGTTCATGCGACTTGCAAGCAGCTTGGCGTGGTGGCTGCCCTCGTGTGACAGACGGAGGAATCGAGAGGTCGCGCTGGGTCGCTCGGTCCACGCACAGCCGCGGCGGGGCGGACGCGGGACTCGAACCCTGAACGCAACGGTGGAGGGGGCGGAGCCGCCGCAGCCACGCCCTCCGCCACATCTCCGTCATCACGCTCCAGGAGGGCAGGCGCATGCGCCCAGCATTCCTGCAGGGACTCCCTCCCGCCGCCAGAGAGAGCGCGCGTGCGCCGTGCCGGCCTCTCTATCCCGCCGCGTGACGTCACGGGTAGCTATCCCAGCGTTCCGCGCGGCAGCCGTCCTTCCTCCTCGGGTTCCGGCGGCGAGCGGCAGGTGTGTGGGTCGGCGGGGCCGCATCCGCGTCCATCGGGGTCCGTGGGGGTCCGTCCGCGTCCGTCGGGGTCCCCCGGGGTCCGTCCGCGTCCGTCGGGGTCCCCCGGGGTCCGTCCGCGTCCGTCGGGGTCCCCCGGGCGCGGCTGGCAGCGGCCAGGGCCCAGGTCCGCCGAAGGCCTCACCCGCACCCGGCTTTTCCCAAGCAGCCATGGCTGTGCGTTACCCCATGGCCGTCGGCCTCAACAAAGGCCACAAGGTGACGAAGAACGTGAGCAAGCCGAGGCACAGCCGGCGCCGCGGGGTGAGTGGGGGGACGGGGGGCTGGGGGCGCGGGGGCTGCGCGGGGGAAGAGGGGTGGTCCTGGGGATGAGGGGTGGTCCTGGGGATGAGGGGTGATCCTGGGGAAGCGGGGGGCTGCCCGGGGGATGAGGGGTGGTCCTGGGCAAGTGGGGAGCTGATCCCGGGGAAGCGGGGTGCGCTCGTCCACGCCATCCTACGTAAATGGTGGTTGGGGGGCCGAGGGGTCAGCTGCAGCATGTTCTGGGCATCTTGGGGTGTCCTTGGTGGGGGCTGAGCGCAGGCATCGCGGTGCTGTCTGTCTGTGCGCCCCAAAACACACACGTACACCTCCCAGCCATGCGAGGGTCCCCCACCACACAGGGACAGACAGGACAGACAGGGTGGGTCTCAGGGATGCACCCCAGGACAGGTGGAAGGGTGGGTGAGGGGGTCAGGGGGTGCTGGAACGGGGGACAGTGGGGTCATCCTGGGTGAGGGGAACAGCGGGGTCAGGCTGGGCGAGGGGTCAGGGGGTGCTGGAACGAGCAACAGCGGGGTCATGCTGGGTGAGGGGACTGGAGGGGCTGGAACTGGGGGACGGCGGGTCGGGGCCACCCCGTCCTCACGGCCGGCCGCGTCCCACAGCGGCTGACCAAGCACACCAAGTTTGTGCGGGACATGATCCGGGAGGTGTGCGGCTTCGCCCCCTACGAGCGCCGCGCCATGGAGCTGCTCAAGGTCTCCAAGGACAAACGGGCGCTCAAGTTCATCAAGAAGAGGGTAGGTGGGGGGCGTGCGGGTGAGGGGGCGCCCGCCGAGGCCGAGGGGGCCAGCTGACGGGGCTCTGCTGCCCGCAGGTGGGCACACACATCCGCGCCAAGAGGAAACGGGAGGAGCTGAGCAGCGTGCTGGCCGCCATGCGCAAGGCCGCCGCCAAGAAGGACTGAGCGCCCTGCCCCGCACCCCGAAATAAAGCTGTAAAACTAGAGATGGCTCGTGGTGCTCGTTCTTCTCCCCGCTGGCTGGGGTCGGTGGGAGGCAGCCTGTCCACCCTCTGTGAGAGGGACAGAGGGTCTCTTGGGTCATAGAGATCTTTATTTGTTAGAAAGTCAGAGTACAGACAGAGGAAGAGGTTCCATCTGATGGCTCCCAAGCCCTGGGCAGGCGCTGTGCGCCGACCCGGAGCCAGGGAGCCGGGAGCCCCCTCCAGGTCTCCCGCAGAGGGTACAAGATTCCCAAAGCACTAGACCGATCCTCAACTGCACTGCTCTTCCCAGAACACAAGCAAGGAGGTGGATGGGAAGTAGAGCAGCCGGGATACGAACCGGCACCCTTTGGGATCCCGGCGCGTTCAAGGCCAGGGCCTTTAGCCTCTAGGCCACGCCGCCGGGCCTGCAGTCAGGGAGGATCTTAACCCCTATGTAGATCTGCCTGCATGGTCTCCACCTGCGCCCAGGAAGGCTGCGGCTGCCCAGCCAAGGCAGCGGCTCCCATCCCTGAGGGGTCAGAGGCCACCCCTGGAGCACTCGGGGTACAGTCCCCCCTCTACACCCCGGGGCTGAGGTGGGGCTGGCTTGGCCCTCCTGGGATGAAAGGAAAGGCAGACACAGGAGTAACGGGTGCACTTCACCCCCAGCGCTGATTGAGTCAGGAGCCTCTTCCAGGTCTCCCACGCGGGTGCAGGTCCCAAGGCTTTGGGCCGTCCTCCACTGCTTTCCCAGGCCACAGGCAGGGAGCTGGATGGGAAGTGGGGCCTCTGGGATTAGAACCGGCACCAGCTTGCTGATGCCCATCCTCTCCCTAGAAGGCCAGCAAAGCCCCACTGGGCACACAGCGAGACACTGTGGGCTAAGCTGCTGCCTGCACGCGGGGTTCGATCACGGCCTGGACTGCACTGTCCCCCGTGGTGCTCCATCTCTGGGTAGGGGGACACACACAGCTCTACTAGAAAGCGTCTTTAATCAACATGGTTATTAAATATTCCCTGTGCCCCACGTTCCAATCAAGCCATCATCCAGGTGTCCAGGGCCGAGCCCCCCAGCGCGCCCGGCAGCGTGCCCAGGCGTCCGTGCAGCCGAGCGTGGCCGAGGCGGCCGTCACCGCTCCACGGCCAGGGCTTCTGCCTGCGGCTCGGGGAAGGCGATGTGGAAGATGTCGCTGTACTGCTCGGCGAAGTGCACCTCCAGGCCGTCGGTGATGAAGGCCGCCAGGTCGTGGAAGTCCTTGCGGTTCTCGGCGGGCAGCACGATGCACGTCACGCCGGCGCGCTTGGCCTGGGGGAGCCCGTGTCCCAGGTCAGCACAGCCCTGCGTTGGGGTGCCCCCCCAGGGCAACTCGCAGGAGGGCTTGGGGGGCATGGGAGAGGGGCGCTCACCGCGATGGTCTTCTCCTTGATGCCGCCCACCGGCAGGATCTTGCCCGTGAGGGAGACCTCGCCCGTCATGGCCAGGTTCTGGCGCACGGGCCGCTCCATGGCCAGCGACAGCAGGGCCGTGACGATGGTGCAGCCGGCGCTGGGGCCGTCCTTGGGGGTGGCACCCTGTGGGGAGAGGCCAGTCACCCACCAGCAACCCCGCTGGGGGCCCGGGGTGGTGGCTGGGGGCCCGGGCAGCAGCAGGGCGGCCTCACCTCCGGCACGTGCAGGTGGATGTGGGAGGTGAGCAGGCGCTGGTTGGCGGGGTCGTGCCGCATGAGGAAGGCCCTGGCGAAGGTGTAGGCGATGCTGGCGCTTTCCTTCATCACCTCGCCCAGCTGGCCCGTGAGCTCCAGGCTGCCGTCCCTGTCCTTGTCCCCCGTGCCCGTGGGCGGCCGCCTCAGCGAGGTCTCCACAAACAGCGTTGAGCCTCCTGGGAGACACGGAGGCCCCTGTGAGCCAGCTGCAGGCCCCCCGCCCAAGGGGCGACCACCCACATCTCCCCCACTCACCCATGGCTGTCCAGGCCAGGCCCATGACCACACCGGGCGGCGTCACGTCGTACATGCGGTCCACGGTGAAGATGGGCTTGCCCACGAAGTCCTGCAGGTTCTCGGGCGTCACCTCCACGGTCTCGGCCTCGCCGCTGACGATCTTGTAGGCCGACTTGCGCAGCACCTGGGCGGCAGGCAGTGAGGTGCTGGGGACTGGGTGCCCGCAGAGCCAAGTGTGGGGGGCCCTGGCGGGGCGGCCACTCACCTTCTCCACCTGCTTCTGCAGGTTGCGCACCCCGCTCTCACGGCAGTACTGCCGGATCAGCAGCGTCAGCACGTCCGACGACAGCCGGGCCTTGCTCTCGTCCAGGCCGCACAAGGCCCGGGCCTGAGGCACCAGGTACCGCTGCGGACAGACGGACGGCTGGGGTTCCGCTCCAGGCCGACGGGGCCTGCACCCCTGCCCCGACGCTGGGAGTCCCACCCTGGAGCCGAGGGCCCTGGCCTCCCCACCCGCACCTGCCCAGGTCAGGTCCCACCCACGCGCGGGCCATCCACACGGTCTTCGTGCCCACCTCGGCGATGGCCAGCTTCTCCTGGGCCACGTAGCCGGACACGTTGATCATCTCCATGCGGTCGCGCAGCGGCTCAGGGATGGTGTCCGTGATGTTGGCCGTGCAGATGAACAGCACCTGCCAGGGAGGTGGGCAGGCCAAGCTGCAGCGCCGGCCCCCACTGCAGCCCGCAGGGCCGGCCGCGCCCACGCGGGGGCGCTCTCACCTTGGACAGGTCCACGGGCACGTCCAGGTAGTGATCCAGGAAGTTGGCGTTCTGCTCTGGGTCCAGCAGCTCCAGCAGTGCGGACGAGGGGTCCCCCTGGTAGCCCCGGCCGATCTTGTCCACCTGGGAGCCAGAGCGGGCGCCGTGAGCACCGGGCAGGCCTGGGCGTGGGGTGCGCAGGGAGCGCCGAGGGGTGTGCCCCCCGCACCTCGTCAATGAGAATCAGGGGGTTCTCCGTCTTGGTCTTCTTGAGACACTGGATGATCTTGCCGGGCATGGCTCCCACATAGGTACGCCTGCACGGGAAAGCACGGTCAGAGGCCAGCCTAGGCCTAGGGTGCCTACCAGGGCCTCTGGGCATGCGCAAGGTGCCACATGCCTGCCCCCACCCAGTCCTGAGCCCCCAGGGTCCCACAGGCCCAGCCCTGGTGGCTTAAGCCGCTCCTAGGGTGTCTGCACTCGGGGTCCAAGCACGGGCTCAAATCCCAGCTGCTCTGCCACCAACCCCGCCGACTTGCTGCTAGCGCACTGGAAGGCAAGGGTGGGCCCAGGACCCCAAACATGGCCCCGTGGGGAGGCCGTGTTGGAATTTCCAACTCCTGGCCCTGGCACGGCCCGGCGCCGACGGCTGCATGCCTTCAGGGAGTGACCCTTCAAATACGGAATCGAATCGGTGTAACCCAACAACAGTGCTGCGGTATGAGGATGCCAGTTTGGTGGGCAGGCCTCAGCCACAGGCAACCGCCTGCTGGTTTGGGGTGGCCTCGTGCCCTGGCAGTGCCCACATTGACCTGGGCCTGAGGCCTGTCGGGGTGGGGGACGCAGCACAGCAGGGCGGCCTACCTGTGCCCTTTGATCTCGGCCACGTCCGTCATGCCCCCCACACTGAAGCGAAAGTACTCGCGGTTGAGGGCACGGGCGATGGAGCGGGCGATGCTGGTCTTGCCCACGCCAGGCGGGCCATAGAAGCAGAGGATCTTGCCCTGGGTGGTGCCCCGCAGCTGGCTGACAGCGATGAACTCCTGTGGGCGGGCGGGGAGGCACGGTGGGCTCAGCGGCACCTTCTCCAAGGCCCTGCCTGCCGATCCGGAGGCAGAGCTGAGAGCTGCCAGTGGCTGGGGGAGAGCCAGCTGTGGGCCTGGCCCCACTCTGATGGCCACCCTACCTCAGGGCCCATCCCCACAGCGCGGTCCACACCCCCAGCCGGCCTTGTGGCCGTCCCATCCCCAGCCACACATAAATCCCAGCGTGGCCCATCCGGCCCCTCCGTGCCCCAGGGGAGATGGGATGGGCCGTGACTCTGGGCTGGGATGGGGATTATCGGGAAGCGGCGGCTGGGCCCCAGCTCACCAGGATGCGTTTCTTCACGTCCTCCATGCCGTAGTGGTCCTCCTCCAGCACGGCCTGCGCCCGGGCCAGGTCCAGGTTCTCATCGCTCTGCTTGCCCCACGGCATGGACGTCAGCCAGTCCAGGTAGTTCCGGGTGACACTGCACGAACAGGCCAAGGCTGCTGATGGTGTGGGAGGGTGCTCTGTGGTGTAGCACAGGTGCGCAACATCCCGTCGGGCCCGCACGGGCCACCCGGGAAGCAGGCCTGGTCCGGGGAAGCCACAGGCCAGGATGGAGCCCATGAGGCTCACGCTGTAACACGCCACTAGCGTCCCAAGGAGCAGACTGGGCCAGCCGGTGCACGTGGCGGTGAGTGGCCAGAGGGTGCCAGGGCTGAGGACGAGCCCGCTGTGAGCCCGCCTCCCTCCTGGGACCCCGGTTAGTGGACGCTCACTTGAACTCGGACGAGTGGTTGTCCAGCAGTCCCAGCTTGCTCAGCTCCTCGTCCACCACGTCCATCACGTGCTTGGGCACCACCAGCTGCGCCAGGCGCTCACGGAACTTCTCCTCGATGGCGTCCTTGTCCTCCTTCTCCAGGCCCAGCTCCTTCTTGATGATCTTAAGCTGCTCCTGCAGCAGGTACTTGCGGTGCGTCTGCTTAATCTTCTCTTCCACCTGCGGGGCTGGGGCTCAGCGAAGCGCAGCACAAAGGGCCACTTCCCTCACCAGCGCCCCCACCGCGGGCCCCTGTCCCCCGCCAGCACGCACAGCACCCGCCCAACAGTGCTGACCACACTGGGGCACTGGGGCACCGGGCCTCGGGCCACTCTCCTGAGCAGATCCCCACCCCTCACGCCAGCCCTGGGGTCAGGAAGCGAATTCTCTAGCTGCTGCGGGCTGCAGGACCCAAGCCCCACCCCACCGTCCTCAGCGTCCACTGTCCACTTCAATGGCAGCACGACAGAGAGAGAGAGCTCCCGTGACGGCCACAGCAGCCAGGGCTCCAACCCAGGACCCCAGAGTTCAAGTGACAGCACAGCCACTGGGCCCCCGCCCCTGCACACTCCCGGGGCCGTGCGGGCGAGGCCGGACACTCACCTCCCGGCCCAGGCGCTGCTGCAGCTTGCTGAGTTCGAACTCCTTCTTGAGCAGGGACAGAGCTTTGTACAGGCGCTTGGGGATCTGCAGGGAGGCGGGGTGTGGGAGGACGGCAGGGGCAGCCCGCAGGGCACCACACGGGCACGGGGCGCCCAGCACTCACATTGGTCTCTTCGAGGACGTCCTGTAGCTCGTGGGACTCGGCCCCGGTCAGCGCGGCGCCCATGTCGCTCAGGTAGATGGGGTTGTCCACCACGCGCTGGCCGGCCTGCATCATCTGCAGCACCGACTCCCTGCGGATGCCCAGAGCCTCGTCACGGGCCCCGGGCATCCGCAGCCCCCGGGACCCTCCCCAGCAGGGCCTCCCGGGGGGCAGCCGCCCACGCGGGACACTGACCTGTACAGGGGGTTCAGGGCGATGATGTCCCGGATGGTCTTGACGATCTCGGCGGTCAGGGCCTACAGGAGGGGAGGGAGGGGGCAGCAGTCATGGCGGCCCGGCGGCCCCAGCAGGCAGCGCCCGCGCCCCACAGCACCCCGCCAGCCTAGCCAAGCCTGTCCCTGCAGAGCAGGCAGGCCAGGCGGGCTCCTTCTGTCGTCTGCCTTTGACACACACCCTGTGCAGTGTCAGTCCGGGCAGGGCTCCCCACACTTGGTGTCCCCCACGTGCACACGGTGGGCACGACCAAGGCCTGGGAGCTACGGCGAGGCCAGTGGGCAGTCCTGGCCAATCAGCAGCCACGGCTTGGCACTGCCCTCGCCTGGCCCCGACCTGCATGAACTTCCACCGATGGCACCGAGGCTGCCTGGAGGCCCCCACTCATGGAGTCAGACACAACACACACTCTGAGCTCTTCTAGAGCCTTCCACGGCGCAGGGCAGGGCCCGGGAGGACACGTTCCGCCTGGAACCTGCCTTCTCACCTTGACCTCCTCCGTGACCTGGAAGTCCTCGTGTGCCACGTTCTCCACCTCCACCATGAGCACCTCGTCCTGGCCGGCCATCAGCGGCTCCGTGGGCGCCCCCTGCAGCCGGGCGCCCGGCTCCTCCTCCGCCTCTTTCCGGGACCGCTTCGTCTTCCTGCGCGTCTTCTGCTTGGGGTCCGCCTCGGCCTCCTCGGGCTCCACCTCCAGCTGCCGGCTGATGTGAATCCTGCGGGCGGAGGAGGGAGCTGGGGCGAGTGCAGCCCTGCCCCTGCAGGACCCTCCGCGCAGGCCCACACCAGGGTCCCCAGCACCCAGCCATCTCCTGCACCCCTCAAGGTGCCAGGGACGGGGGCCTCCCATGGCAACGGCATCCGCTCGGCTAACACAGGCCTGCCCTACCCTGGCTCCTTTCCTCTGGCCTTGGTGTGAAGGAGGCCTCCTCCAGGAGGCCCTCCCTGACCACCTGACCACCTGAGAAAGGCAGCGTCACCCATCCCAGGGATCCAGCATGTGGGCAGCGACCGCCCAGCCCCGGGGGCAGCCGCGCACCTGCGATGGCCCGTGACGATCATGCGCAGCTTGTCCCCGAGGTCCTGCAGCTCGTGGATCTGGGCGAAGGTCCCCGTGTGGTAGATCTCATCCAGGCTCCCCACCACGTCTGACTCATTGCTGGGGGCACAGACACAGACGCTCGCTGGGGCAGGTGGGCACCCGGTAAACCGCCGGAGGGTGCCACCTTGCAAGGGGCCCTGGGCGCCAGCCCCCCGCCCCTCACCTGTCATCTCTCTTCAGGAAGACGCCCACGTAGGGCTGGGCCAGGCGGACTTTCCTCCTCAGCAGCTCTATCAGCTTCTTGTTCTTCACCTGGAGACACAGCGCCCCCCCGAGGCCAGTTGAGCACGGGTGGGGCCTGCCGGCTGACCTCCAGCCCGGAAACACGCCCTTCCCCCACTCCCCAGCTTCTGGACAGTTCTGTAGGGGCACAACCAGAACGGGGACTCTTGATCCAAATACAAATCAAATAGCTGCGGTGGAGCGAGGGGGGCCTGCCTCCTTCTCAGCAGCAGCAAGCACAAGCCCCAGCGGCCCACTTCCTAAGGAACACTCCAGTGGCCAGGACTGGTGCCGACGCAGCATCCAGCTACAGCACCTGGCTTTTTTTTTGGGGGGGGGGGGGTGTGAAACTTTGGTTTGAAACCCAGAAGCTGGGTGCTCTGCTAAGTCACGCCTGGAAGGACAGCACATCATGGGATCTGACGCCAACACAGCGCCCCCACCCACTCCCTCTGCCCCCCAACATGACTCGTGCTCAGCAGTCCCTAACCCCCGGTGGCCGCTTGGCGAGTGAACCAGCAGGTGGAAGACCTTTCCGTGAGTCGGCCTTCCCAAGACAAATGAAATGAACATTTGGCACCATGGGCTGTCGTCTGGTGAAGCCCCTCCCCGCCCCGAGCTACACACCACCCCCTTAGCTCCCATCTCGACCCCCGTGGGCAGGTTTCCAAACCCAGAAAGTCCACAAGGCCATGCCTGTGACCCCCCCCCCACTGCTGGCCCACTGTGCCAATGAGCACCCTGTGTGCCAGCTGCAGAGCACTGGGGGTGGCAAAGACCCCTCCCGCCACGCTTTTCTGGGTCGCAGGCTCCCACGGTGGCGCGGGAAGAAGGGTAGGTGTGTTTCTGGGCTCAGACCACGAACTGTGGGCCTCAAGACCCCCCAGGGCTGCACAGAGGAGCAAGTCACGCTATTACCACCGCCACTACCGCCACCCCCGGTCTCTGGACTGGTGCTGAGTAGACACGACTCACCCACCCACACTCGGCCCGCCCGTCTTGGGTGCGATGGGCAAGGGGCGGGCATGCAGGAGGACCCCAAGGCATCCCGGGGCGCAAGTCCAGGTCCTCAGTCCCCAGGCAGCATCAACAGTTCTGGTGCTCCGTGTGGGCCCATTTTCTGGCTGGGAAGACCAAAGCCCAGAAGCCAAACATGCTGAGGCTCTCGGAGCTGGGGGAGGGGGGCGAGGGATCCTCGCAGTACAGAGGGAGCCGCCTGGGGGTTAAGGGGAGGCCCTGAGAGGGGCACACAGGCTCAGGGTGGGGACGGGGAGGCCCTGAGAGGGGCACACAGGCTCAGGGTGGGGACGGGGAGGCCCTGAGAGGGGCACACAGGCTCAGGGTGGGGACGGGGCGCCTTGGCCCCCCTCCAGCTGCTGTCCCTGTCAACCTTCACCTCTTCCTCTACACCCAGGGATCCCTGAGATGCCGAAGGGGGGCGGGGGGAGGCCAGGCAAGGCAGCGCTGACGCACGCAGTGGCCTTGCCCGGAGAATGACCAGATAAACCAGAGACAAAGACAGAAATTTCCAGAGCTTTCTGCCCCTTGCATCACCCCGCGCCATCCAGGGCTGAACGGTTCCAATCTCCCCGACCTCAAGCCGCGTGCATCTGAGGCCTGGGAAGTGTCCCCTCCTACCGTCCCCAGCGCGTTACAGGGTGGGGAGTGGGGGAGGTGGGGACCGGGGCGCGCTCCGCCCCTCCCAGGAGGCAATCCAGCTGGTGCAACAAGATGCAACTTAAGTTACTACTGTAGTTACAACTTAAGTTAACGCAGCATGTAAGCCTCACCGCCCGGAAGTCCAGTTCACAGGACCACCGAAAGGGGAACAAAGTAGGGCGGTGGTTCCAAAGCATCGCCCAAGACGGGAAAAGACAGAAGCAGCAGGGGCACTCACAACATGGCTGCAACCCCCACCCCAACCCCAGGGGTAGGACTTAAAACAAGACCTGGGGGGTTCCTCTGCCCATCCCCGCATGCTTCCCCGGAACCCATAAAGGCATAGGGAAGCGCCAAGCAGCCACGCACGAGCTCCAGCCGTGGAAAGAATTTAGTACATTTAAAACAAAAAACTTTGGGGTGTTATGGTGGCAGGTGCCCCTCCTTCCAGTGCAGGTGCACGGTGCGGGAGGCCCGGCTGGCTCCTCCGTGCACGGTGCGGGAGGCCCGGATCGCTCCTCCGTGCACGGTGCGGGAGGCCCGGATCGCTCCTCCGTGCACGGTGCGGGAGGCCCGGCTGGCTCCTCCGTGCACGGTGCGGGAGGCCCGGCTGGCTCCTCCGTGCACGGTGCGGGAGGCCCGGATCGCTCCTCCGTGCACGGTGCGGGAGGCCGGATCGCTCCGTGCACGGTGCGGGAGCCCGGATCGCTCCTCCGTGCACGGTGCGGGAGCCCGGATCGCTCCTCTGTGCACGGTGCGGGAGCCCGGATCGCTCCTCCGTGCACGGTGCGGGAGGCCCGGCTCACCTCGATAATCTTGATGAACCGCGGAAACACAGGGTTGCGCGTGATGGCGACCAGCGGCAGGTGCGGGAACACGTCGGGGATGGTCATGGGCGTGAGCGCCGTGATGACCGGGCCCTCCCCGCCGCCCGAGCCGCCCGAGCCGGCCGAGCCCCCGGCCCCTTCCTCCGCGCCGCCCTCCGCAGCGTCCTCGCCGCCCGAGAAGGCGCCACCGCCGCCGCGCCCCGGGTTCGAGTCCCACAGTCCCCGCCACTGGCCCAGGCTGGCCGGGGCCCGGCCCCACAGCGCCGCGGGGGCAGCAGGGCCCTTCCGCCCGCCGGCCACGCACGCCCCGGCCGCCGTCCGCGCCCACCCCCCGGCCGGGGCCAGCAGCGGCCGCCGCAGGGACAGACACCGCGCCGCGCTCCACAGGCGCACGTAGCCTGCGCCCGCCGCCATGGCCCGGCCATACTGGCGGCGCGCGGCGCTTGCGTCACCAGCCCTCGCCCGCGGTGGGGCGCACGTGACGCTCGGCGCGTGCCTTCGACACCCCGCCCCCTGGAAGGCGGGGCCGAAGGAACACCTTCCCGTGAGGGCGTGGCTTAGGGTGGAGGGGCGGGGCCTGAGCACGCGCCTTTTGGCTAGCGGGGAAGAACAGTGCGCATGCCCGATCCTGGGGGCGTGGACTAAGTTACGTATGCCCCGTGGGCGTGGCATGCATAGTAAGGGTCGGGTCTGAGTCCACTCCTTCCGGAAGAGTGCGCACGGCTACGCTTTGGGGCGTGGCCTGAGACGGAACGCCCTCCCTTGTGGGCGTGGCTGCGGGCGACAGGCGGGGCCTAAGTCTGCTCATTAGTTACGCTCCTCCCCTAGTCTCCCCTGTGGGGGGGGTCTTGTCACGGGAGGGATCAGTGCGCATGTTCCAGTGGTGGGGCGGGGGGGGGCTGAGCGGCTCCGTTTCCCGGGAGATGGCGTGCGCATGCTCAGTCTGCGGCGGCGACGCCCGCAGCGGTTGAGGGCTGTGCTGGCGGGATGCTGCTGTGGCTGCGGCTGCTGGCGATGGCGGCCGGCGTGTGGCTCTGCCCGGTGGTCGGAGCTCATTCTCTGTGCCGGTGTGAGGGGCTGCCCTGCTGGGGCCTCGGCTAGGGACCCGGAGGGGGCGGACCCGTGGGGAGGACCCCCTACCTACCCCTCACACGGGGTGCACCCAGCAGAGAGCTTGGATGGAAAGCAAGCAGCTGCCAGGGCTGGGCATGCATGCAGCCCGGGGCGCGATGCAGGCGTGCCAGGCGGGTCAGTCCGCGCCCGATGCAGGCGGGCCAGGCGGGTCAGTCCGCGCCCGATGCAGGCGTGCCAGGCGGGTCAGTCCAAGCCCCACCCGGCTGCACCTGTTACATGTGCCTGCGGAGGAACACCCCTTCTAGAAAGATGGACTTAAGCAGGGCTTAGCTCCAGATCTGAATGTAGCTAGTTCGTCTCCCCACATCGTCTCTCGTCCCTGGAATTTGTGCAATTAGCTGCCGGGACATGACACGGTCCGAACAACACACACACACACACACACACACACACACACACACACACCCCTGGGGTCGCAGTGATTGCCACCATCCTTCCAGGGTGACCTGCCTAACTTGGGCTCAGCCCTCGCGAGGCAGGGGGGTCCCGTCTACACCAGGGCGGGATTCTGTAGCACGCTTCCCTCAGGCGACCTGGGCGGGGAGTGGAAGGGTTTTCCTGCAGTATCGATTCCACGCACACTGACCAGCGGTCTCTCTTCATTCACACCCAGTGTTCACACAGTGAGGACAGCAAAAGTGTTCAATGTCGTGCAGCGACTTCATGGGGTAGGTGACCGCACACGTCACATCAACGCTTCACTTTAAAAGCTATTTAAACTGGGCCCAGCACGGTAGCCTAGTGGTCAAAGTCCTTGGCTTTGCACGCACTGGGATGGGTGCTGGTTTAATTCCAGCAGCTCTACTTCCCATCCAGCTCCCTGCCTGTGGCCTGGGAAAGCAGTGGAGGACGGCCCAAAGCCTTGGGACCCTGCACCCGCATGGGAGACCAGAAGAGACTCCTGGCTTCAGATCGGCTCAGCTCAGCTCTGGCCTCTGTGGCTGTTTGGGGAGTGAACCAGCGGAGGGAAGATCTTCCTCTCTGTCTCTGCTCCTCTCCATTTATCTGACTCCAATAAAACTAAACAAATGCTTAAGAAACAGCCGGCGTCCCCTCATTGCCAGGGGGGTGTTGGGCAGAAGGCAGACATTGCGTGTGCGTGTGTGTGTGTGTGCGTGTGTGTGTGCATGTGTGTGCATGTGTGTGTGTGTCTGTGTGTGTGTGTGTGTGTGTGCGCCCACGGATCCACTAAAGTTCTGTGCTTTTCCTTCCAGGAGCGCCTGTACTTTGACGCTTCAGCCCCTCGCTTGTTGAAGCATCCTTGCCACAAGCACCTGGCCCTGTACCTGGGGTAAGCACCTGCCGGGCGCAGCGTTCCTCTGCTTCCAGGTCCAGCTCTTCCGCTTGCCCTCGGCCAGCACGCACACAGGAACACGAGGGAGTGTGGCCTGGTGCCACCAGGGGCTCCAGGAGGAGCCAGGAGCTTCTTCCGGGTCTCCCACGCAGGTGCAGGGTCCCAAGGCTTTGGGCCGTCCTCCACTGCTTTCCCAGGCCACAGGCAGGGAGCTGGATGGGAAGTGGGGCTGCTGGGACACGAACCGGCACCCCATGGGATCCCGGTGCGTGATGGGCTCCTTGGCGGCCACACCTCCATCCCCATGACGTCACCCTAACAAGCACGAAGACCGCAGAGGCAGCTCTAAGCCAGGAGCAGCAGTGCACACGTGACAAGCGCTGCGTGGCTCGCCGGGGGCACAGGGCCGTTAGAGCGAGGCAGTTTTGTAGCCCCCCCCCCGCCCCCCCCCCCGTTTGCGATCTCTTCTCGTGTGAGGCTGTCCTAACTCGTCTCTTCTTGTTGATTTCAGAAAGCAGGTGTTCCTCACGAGGGATGATTTCAAGAGCAGCCTACTTCCCTTCACCGTCCCCGAGTCCATGGCGGTAACTACCCTGCCCGTCACAAGGACATCTGCCATAAGGGACACCTGGAGCCCTTCAGAAAGTTCCCACATGGGGCCCGGCAGGGCAGCCTAGCGGCTAAAGTCCTCACTTGACATGCACCAGGATCCCATAGGAGCACAAGTTTGTGTCCCGGCAGCTCCACTTCCCATCCAGCTCCCTGCCTGTGGCCTGGGAAAGCAGTGGAGGACGGCCCGAAGCCTTGGGACCCTGCACCTGCGTGGGGGAGACCCAGATGGAGCTCCAGGCTTCTGGTTTTGAATCGGCTCAGCTAAGGCTGTTGCAGCCTCTTGGGGCAATTAACCAATGAATGGATGAAAGAGAGAGAGAGAGAGAGAAATCTGTTTCTCATATTTAACAATAATGTGTGATGGCAAAAGTTTTGGCCAACAAATAAACTGATCTTTTAAGCCCACTTTCCATCTACTTTTGAGAAATGATTTATTTTTAATGGAAAGTCAGATATAGAGAGAAGAGACAGAGAGGAAGATCGTCTGTTCACCAATTCACTCCCCAGTGGCCATGATAGGCAGGTCTCCCAAAGGCAGGAGCCAGGAGCTCCATCCAGGTCTCCCATGTGGGTGTGGGGCCCAAGCCGCTGGGCCGTCCTCCGCTGCTTTCCCAGGCGCATGAGCAGGGAGCCGGCTGGGAAGCAGGGCAGCCGGGACTTGAACCAGTGCCCCTACGGGACGCTGGTGTCACAAGCAGTGGCTCAACCCACAGCACTACAGCACTGGACAGCCTCCCGCCTGTTCCCCGCTCAGCTTCCACCTCACCCCTGGGGCGTGTGGTCCCCATGTGTAAGAACCAGGCCTCGCTGGCGAGGAGCGATGTCCCACGCGTGGCTGCTTGCAGGTGGGCGTGCCCAAAGTCACGTCGGCCCACTTCGCCGGCCCGCTGCTGCTGCTGGTGATCAACTACCAGGTCTATATCTACAACTACCAAGACAACATCTGGGGCAAGGCCACAGGTAGGGCCCGGGCAGGGCTGGGGCTTGGCCGACCCCAGCTGCCACCCTCAACTCCCCGAGGGGAGCCCCTGGGCATGGAGCCGTGGGGTCAGTGAGAGGGGCAAGGCTGGCGCCCTTGGCACCCGCCACGGGCTAGGGGGAGGGTGGCAGGGATGCAGGGTCCCTGTGCGTCTGTGCCATGGGCAGGCACTGGAGGGCACCATGAGTCACGCTGGCGTACACGCCACCTCCCTGTGTTCCCTGTCATCTGGTCATCCGGGGTGTGAACCCAGGCCCCGTTGGGCACTGGCCAGCACGGCACAAGAGGGTGGCTTCCCCTTTCTGTCCAGCACGCATGAGGAGCTGGAGCTGGGGCGGCTGCAAGGGGAGACTGGGCGTTGCGCGCACAAGTAAAGGTGCCACTCACGCCAGAGGCCCCGGGTTCGAGTCCTGGCATCCTGCTTCTCATCCAGCTCCCTGCTCATGCGCACACAGCGGCACTTGGGCCCCTGCCACCCCCAGGGGAGAGACCTGGCTGGAGCTCTGGGCTCCTGGCTGTGGCCTGGCGCGGTTCTGGCTGTTGCAGCCATTTGGGAAGAGAACGAGTGGATGACGGAACCTCGTGCGCGCGCGCTTTCTCTCCACCTCGTCCCTGCAGGCATACAGCAACCCGTGTCCCACGTTTCCGGCGACAACTGCTGTAATGCCAGGAGAGCCTTTTGCCTGGTAAGCGTCGCGTGCCTGAGGGCGGGCGGGAGGCAGGTGCAGGCTCACGTGGTGCCACGGACCCCGGGGCTCGGCGTGGAGTTTGGGGGTGGCGGGCCGTGTGACCTCCCCTCCACCGCCCCTGAATTGTTCTGTGCTTTTTTTTTTTTCCCCATCACTGGTTATTTGCAAATGCTTCTGGATTCCACAGGAAGTTTGCGAAAACAAAACAGGGTTCCACGGGTCCCTCCCCTAGCCCACCCAGAACTGAGAGTTTATGCAGCTTCTGAGCCGCACGGCACAGCCGGGACCCTGGGGTGGTCAGCGGAGGGGGCTTCACGACTCCGGCACTGGATTCCACGCCTGCTTCCCCTACATGCACACCCACCACTGGATCCCGGCTCTGCTTCCCGGCTCAGTGAGCTCAGGGAGCTGGGTCCACCACCACCCCCCAGGGGAGACCCCGAGGGAGCTGTCAGCTCCTCCACAGGGTCTATTCCAATCCAAGGTATTTGGGGAATAAAGGAGCAAAGGGGACGTGTGTGTGTGTGTGCAGGTGCACCAAAAACAAGAATGATATCTAAACAGCAGCACACAGGAACATGCCCCCTTTTTGGGGCTGTATAATACTCCAAGGCCTAGATATACCATTGTCTAGTTTCCATATATTATATATTATATATATACATACACAAATAATTAAAGATGAGTCTCCCATCACAGTCAGGGACAAGTCGTACATTAGTGTACATTTTTCACGTCTCTGAAATGCACATTTACTGGCCTCTTTATATATATATATTTTTTTCATGGTAAGCCCATTCTTATATACATATGTACATATATATTTGAAAAAGAGACAGCAATAGAAATTCCATCTTCATATTCATTGGGTCACTCCCCCAAATACCTCCCCCCCCCCAACACCAGGACCGGGCCAGGCTGAAGCCAGGAGCCGGGAGCTCCAGCCAGGTCTCTGCCATGTGGCTAACAGAAACACAAACACCGCCCCCCACTCCCCTGCTGCCTCCCAGGGAGCTAGCTGGGGGCGGGAGCCGCCGTGGGGACTCGAACCTGGAACTCTGGTAAGAAAACATCTCCCCCTCCCCCGCGTGCCTTTCCAGTCCATCAGTAACTCCGTGTTTGCGTACGCCCGCGGCGAGAAAATATCTCGAACCAACATGTATTTCTCGGACACGGGAGGACAGAGTTTCCGGAAGTACGTCTTCCACAGACAGGTGCGTGGGAGACAGCGAACAACAACAAATCTTTTAGGTCCTGCGGTTCCCCGATCCCCGGAGTCAGTGGGTGAACAGGGCAGATTCCGGATCAGACAGGCTGGCTCCCCCAAAGAACGTGCAACAAGGCCGGGCAGGGCTGAGGCACGCCAAAGCCACGAGCACACAGGTCCCCCCCCGTCCAGCAGCAGGGACCCAGTCAAGTGACCCAGCACCCGCTGCCCTCCAGGGAGCTGCAGTCAGTCACAAAGATGTGAGCGCCCCAAGCCACAGCTTAACCCACCCACCCACCGCCCAGTCCCACGGCACGGCTCATGGGGTGTCTGTGCTGCACACCAACCCTGACCTCTTAGCCGCTCATCCAGACAGATATTTGCAGCAGCAAGGGACGCCCCGGTTGCATCCCACCTTGTGAGGGAGAGAGGAGCAGGTATCATGAAAGGGGCTGAATGCTGCAAAGCAGAGGAGCCAGCAGAGGGCACCCGCGCCCCGACACTGGAGCGCCTGGCTGGGTTTGGGGGTTCGGTTCCCAGCTCTGGCTGTAGTCTGCAGCTCCTGGCTAGGGCACACCCAAGGGGAAGGCGGCAGGCACGGGTCCCCACCCCACTCACGTGGGAGACTCGGATTGGCCTAGACCCGGCGATGGCACACGCAATTTGGGGAGTGGCGATAGATTTCCCGGCCTGGGGACTCAAAGCCCCGCTCGCCAGCTCGGGGCATGGTCCTTCAAAGAAGCTCCTGGATTGGGGTGCCCGGGCGCCCACCCTAGGCTGTTGGACACTGGACCCTTCAGCCAAAGGTGAGAATGAATGGACGTGGCAGCAGTTACAGGCTGAGGGCGGAGGCAGGGGCAGTCTGTGTCCATGCACCCACCCACCGACACAACTCTCCTGCTTCCTGCTGGAGAACCAGCGCTCCGTGCCCACACCGACTGCCACACGCTGGCTTGTGTTCACACTCGCCCTCCAGCGGTGTTTCCCGCTGTGTCACAGGAAGAGCTGAGTGGGACTCTGGGCGGCATCTTCTACTTTCACTCCCTGTCACAAGTCGGGCTGCTCATGGTTAACAACAGGAAGGTAAGGGGCGTCGCCCGGGAGGAACTACTCAGATGGCCTTGGTCAGCGTGCCATGCGGAAGCCCCCCTTGAAGCTTCTCATTCACCCCCTTCACCGATGCTGCACAGCTGGGCCCCGCCAGCGCCTCCATCCTCGGGGCCAGCACAGTTCCTGGTCATGAGGTGTGGCGGCTCTGGGGTCCTGCACGCTGTGGGCGGCACCCCCGGCCTGTGCCACAGATGGCTTCCTGGCACGGCCGGGGGGGGGGTCACCCGAGTGTCACCGCTCACGAGGAGACTCCCGGGGTGACGGGCCCACCAGGGTGGGTGATGTCCACACAGGGCCAGTTCGCGTACTCACACCACCCCCTGAACCGGAGCTTCGGGCTCCCCTTCGACTACAATGGCACCCTCAACGTCCTCACCCTCCCGGGCCAGAGGGGCGTCCTGATCTTCTGGTGCGCCAAAAGTCTGCTCTTCTCACTCAACTCAGGTGAGCCAGCCCCGGCTGGGCAGCCGCCGCCTCTCCGCAGGTGAGGGGGGCAGAATGGGGCAGGACCCTCCCTACTTCCTGCTTCCTCTTTGGCGTGGGAGGGTTGGAGGGGGCAGAGGGAGGCTGGGGAGGGGCAGTGCACCCCCAGCAGGCTTGCCAAAGGAGTATCAGGCTCTGGCACCGCGACTTTGCCAGTGGACTTTAAAAAAAAACAGAATTGAGGGCCCGGTGTGGTAGCCTAGTGGTTAAATCCTCACCTTAAATGCACCAGGATCCCATAGGGGCGCGCCTGTTTGTGTCCCGGCACCCGCGTGGGAAGAGAATCTGGGCTCATGGCTTTGGATCGGCACGGCTCCAGCCATTGTGACCACTTGGGGAGTGAATCAGCAGACAGAAGATCCTCCTCTCTGTCTCTCCTGTCTATAATTCTGACTTTCCAATAAAAATAAATAAATCTTTAAAAGAGAGAGAGAGATCTGCCACTCGCAGTGTCACTTCCTAAATGCCCACAGCAGCCAGGGCCGAGCCAGGAGCCAGGAGCCCCATCCGGGTCTCCCACGCAGGTGTCAGGGAATCAGGCGTTTGGCCCACCCCTGCAAACCCGCCCGCTGTCACTCGACCTTAGCCCACCGCACCCTGAACGCCGTGTCCTCCTCCTAGATCCTCGATGCCTGGACTTGCCAGGGACACGGAGCCTCTGGTGTGGAGGCGGGTGGGGGGCGGGCTGCAGCGGCAGGGCCTCACGGGGCCGCCCTGCTCCCCTCCCAGGCCAGCTCGTGGACACCGTCCAGGTGCGTAAAGGAGACCAGCTCCTGCACCCTTCCATCTTCGACGCTAACATCATCATCCAGGACGTCACCTTCAGTGAGTTCTCGACCCGTCTGGAACGTTCTAGAACACTGAGCCCTGAGTGGGTCTTTAACCACACTACACCAGATCCAACCTGCCTCCTATAGCCTCCCCAGTCCCTGCAAAAAAACAACCGAACAAACAAAACAAAAAACAGAAGCAGACTACAAGTTTTCTTTTTCTTATAAGTCTTTTTTTTTTAAAGACATATTTATTTTTGGGCCCAGCGGCTAAAGTCCTCGCCTTGAACGCACTGGGATCCCATATGGGCACCGGTTCTAATCCCGGCAGCCCCGCTTCCCTTCCAGCTCCCCGTGGCCATCACTGGCATCGCTTCAGCTCACTGCACGCCCCGTCACCGCCACGCTCACACACACACTCACACGCACACTCACTCACACACACTCACTTACACACTCACTCACTTACACACTCACTCACCACACACACTCACCACACACACTCACACACACACTCACACACCACACTCACTCACACACCACACACACACTCACCACACACACTCACTTACACACTCACTCACCACACACACACTCACCACACTCACACACCACACTCACTCACACACTCACCCCACACACACCACACACACACCACACACACACACTCACCACACACACTCACACACACACTCACTCACACACACACTCACTTACACACACACTCACCACACACACTCACTCACACACACACTCACACACACGAGGCCCCTGCCGTTTCAGGCGTGGCACTGAGTCATCTGTGTTTTCCCAGATGAAAACGAGCTGGCCGTCCTGTCCCGGGAGCAGCACCTGTACTACGGGAGCGTGGGTGCTCTGTGGAGCTCCATCCTCAAGGTGGGTGTTGGTCACAGGGGTGGGGGCAGGGTCCGTGCGTCCCTGGGGCCCTTCCTGCCCGAGACCCCAGGCACTCTGACGTTTATTTAAGGATTTATGTATCCGGACTGGCACCATGGCTCAACAGGCCAATCCTCCCCCGCAAGTGCTGGCATCCCATATAAACACCAGCCCGTGTGTCCCGGCTGCCCCGCTTCCCATCCAGCTCCCTGCCTGCGGCCTGGGAAAGCAGTGGAGGACGGCCCCAAGCCTTGGGACCCTGCATCCACGTGGGAGACCCGGAAGAAGCTCCCGGCTCCTGGCTTCAGATCGGCTCAGCTCCAGTCATTGTGGCCACATGAGGAGTGAACCAGCGGATAGAGGATCTTTCTCTCAGTCAATCTGCCTTTCAGATTAAAATAAATAAATCTTAAAAAAAAAATATATATATGTATTGATTTGAAAGAGCTGCCGAGAGAGAGAGAGAGAGAGACAGAGAGAGCCTCCACCTGCTGGTTCACTCCGTGAATTGATACAACAGCTACCGGGGTCTCTTCCGTGTGAATAGGGGCCCCGAGCTCTCGGGCCAAGCTCTCCCACACCTCTCCAGCACGTGCCCCAGGAACGCCCCTCTCCCCTCACCCCCCCTCAGATCTCAGAGGACCTCTTCTGGTCCGCGGAGGTGGCCCTGATGTTCACGGGCACGGGCGTGCTGCACGTGCTGTCCCCGCTCGGCGATGCCTTCTTCCTGGCCTTCGACTTCCAGCAGTGTTCCATCAGTATCCAGGCCACCCTCATGGAGCCTGACCTCCAGGTCGGCAAGTGCAAGGTGCGTGCGTGCGGCCAAGGAGCGACCCCGACGGGCGGCGGGGACAGAGTGGTCCCCTCCCGCCCCCCAGTGCCCACACGGCCTGCATCCGGCCCTCCCACCCGCTGTGCTGCCTCCTGGGGTGGAACTGGACAGGACACAGACGATGCTGGCCACGGCTCTGCCCACAGCACCGGGACGCCGGCCAGCCGGGACGGGCTCTGGAACCTCAGCTGCAAAGCAGAAACCTCGCCCCTCCCCCTGAGTGGTGACGAGGGAAGGGGTCGTGGCCATGGTGTTTTTTTTTTTTAAAGATTTATCTAGGGCCCGGCACGGTGGCGCAGTGGTTAAGGTCCTCGCCTTGCACGCCTGGGATCCCATATGGGCCCCAGTTCTAATCCCAGCAGCCCCGTTTCCCATCCAGCTCCCTGTCTGTGGCCTGGGAAAGCAGTGGAGGACGGCCCAAAGCCTTGGGAACCTGCACCCGCGTGGGAGACCCGGAAGAGGCTCCTGGCTTCGGATCGGCATAGCATCGGCCGTTGCGCTCACTTGGGGAGTGAATCATCGGACGGAAGATCTTCCTCTCTGTCTCTCTGCCTTTCCAATAAAAACAATAATAAAAATAAATATTTAAAGATTTATCTATTATTTTTATTGGAAAGGCAGATTTACAGAGAGAAGGAGAGAAGGAGAGAGAAACATCTTGCATCCGCTGGTTCACTCCCCAAGTAGCCACAACGACCAGAGCTAGGCCGATCTGAAGCCAGGAGTCAGGAGCCTGTTTGGGGTCTCCCACGTGGTTACAGGGTCTCAAGGCTTTGGGCCGTCCTCCCAGGCCACAGGCAGGGAGCTGGATGGGAAGTGGAGCAGCCAGGATTAGTATTAGAGCCCCTATGGGATCCCGGTGCATGCAAAGTGAGGACTTTAGCCACTAGGCTACTGCGCCAGGTCCTGGTGGCTATGTTCTTACACGGTTAACACCAGCAAGCATGGGGAGACTCAGCCACGGTGCACCAACCTGCCAGCGACTGCCCCCCGCCCCCAGCAGCAAAGATCAGGCAAGACCACAGCACCCCCTGGGGACTAAACCTGAGCCCAGCAGGAAGCTGCCAGACGACCCCCAGTGCAATGGGCAGAGGTAACCCGCCCCTGATACGCACCCATAACATACAGACTTGGACCCCAAACCTGGAGTCTGCCCGGGTCGCAGAGCGGCACAGGTGTGGGCTGCCCTGAGATGCTCCTGGGGTTGCAGAAGGTTCCAGAAGGAGCTGAGAGCTCGGCTGCCTTCGTGCTCCCCGCCACGGACGCGCACACCGCCCTGATTGCAGGTGGAACTGCTGGAGGCTATCTTTGCAGCGGTGTACACCATCGACATGAACAGCGAGCTGCTGCTGCAAGCCAGGCTCATTGCGCGGCTGGGCACGTCACCCATCCCCTTGGTACGTGCCACCCCCTGCGGGGGTTTCCTTCAGTCCCTGGCATCGCGTATGAGCACTGGTGGTTCGAGTCCCAGCTGCTCCACTCTCCATCCAGCTCCCTGCTACCGCACCTGGGAAAGCCTCGGGCTTCTGCCACGTGGGAGACCCAGATGGAGCTCCTGGCTCCCAAGCTTCAGCCTGGCCCCATCCGTCCTGGATGCTGTGGCCATGTGGGGAGTGAACCAGGGGGAGCAGGGTCTGTGGTCTGACCTTTCTGTCGGAGCCAGTGTGGGTCCAAGGCCACGGCTTAGGCTGGTGGTGGTGCTGGGGGTCAGCGACGTGGCTCAGGCTAGGGGAGGTACCTTCGGGGTATGGACCTGCAGCTGTGTGGGCAGGAGCAGGCTGGTCGGCCACGGGGAGGTGGGCTGGGGTCACCTGCAGTGCCCGCCAGCCCTGGCCCGCCCCTGCACCCGCTGCTCTAGGCCATGGTGAGCAATCCACACTCACTGGGGCTGCAGGCCTCCATCTCAGAGCGGGGCGACACCTTCGACGGCAGCACCATGTACATCCTGGTGAGTGGGGGGGCCTGCCCATAGACCCAGGCCTCGCCCCAGTACAGTCCCAGGTCCACCAGAGCTGGCCTTCAGCAAGGCCCTGCCCCGCCCCCACCACACCAAGCTCCCTAGTTCCGCCTCCAGGCCCCCTGCTCAGTGGGGACCCCGGCGGGGAACCAAGGCCCACACCACTGCCTGCATCCGGGACCTCCTTAGAGTACCCTCCTGGGGCAGGGGATCCTGTCAGAGGTCATGGGTCTACCCCACCCCAGTCTCCTTTGACCCCAAACCCCAGGAACCAACAGCTCCTGTCCCGCCGGCACAGTGGGGTGGGGACACAGTGACACCTCGTGCTGGGCAGATGTGGGGGAGGGGGGGCTTCCAGGAGCCGGGCCCTGGACCGTGGGGGGCTTCCAGCGTCCTCTCGCCCACAGCCCCCATCCCCACCCTCAGCTTCGTCCTCCTGGGGTACCCCAGGATCAAGAGCGCGGTTCTTTGTCCCCTACCCCACCTCCCCAGGACATCCATCTGAAACAACAGCATCACTGGGGCAGGACAGACCCCAACTTCACCTACAGGTGAAAGGCGTGCGGCCCCGGCCGCCCTGTGCGACTCCGCTCCGGGAATAAATCCTTGTTAAAATAATAAATTCTGAAACCCACACACTGGAGGAGTCTGAGACACTCATACTGTGAATCACGTGACCAGATGGCAAATTTTTTTTTGGTTACTGAAGATCTAATTTTTTTTTTTTTTTAATTTATGGGAAAGGCAGAGAGAAGGAGAGACAGACAGATCTTCCCTCTGCTGGTTTACTCCCTAAGTGGCCACAATGGTTGGAGCTGTGCCGATCTGAAGCCAGGAGACAGGAACTTCCTCTGGGTCTCCCATGCGGGATTAGAACCGGCGCCCATAAGGGATCCCGGTGCGTTCAAGGCGAGGACTTTAGCCACTAGGCCATGCTGCCAGGCCCGAACGTATTTTTCAAGTCTATTTTCTCATAGATTTTTAAAGGGCCATCATACATGCTATTTTCAGGGTAAAACTTAGGCTTGCACCAGATGTATTTTTATGATTCAGAAATAGGAGAACCAGTGAGAAATGAGCTAGATATTTAAGTGAAGGTGTTGGAGGAGTGACAAATGGAAACCACAAGGTAAGATAAAATTATATCACCTGACATGAGGAGGATAAAAGAGAAAAGGTACATCAAGGGGGGAAAGCCCCAGCGTCCTCGTTAGAACCCTACATCCTGATGGGGAGAAGAGAGAACAGAAATGAACGTTAGCAATGGGAGGGGCAGCGCAGTTGAAGGAGACCAAGCGAACGTTCCTACACAGCAGTGTCAGGTGGCCGGGGTCTCTGGCGCGTAAGGCACCTACATGCAGGTTAACACAAGCACAAACTGACAAAGTGGGGGCCAACACAAGTGTGCAGACGAGCTCAGGCGACATTCTGGGACAAAGGGAAGGAGAGCGAGGGGTGATAGGTGGATGGGTGGGTGGGTGGGTGGATGGATGGGTGGGTGGATGGGGAGATGGATGGATGGATGGGTGAGTGGGTGGATGGGGAGATGGATGGATGGGTGGGTGGGTGGGTGTGTGGATGGATGGGTGGGTGGGGAGGGAAGGTGGGCAGACAGGCTGCTGGGGACTCATCCACAGGCCTGAGGGTCTGTAAGAATGCAGTTCCCTTTGCCTCCAGCATCAAGCGACCCACCATCTCCAGCCTGACAGTGGACATAGCCAACAAGGAACTCTCCTGTGTGGACATGAAGCCGCTGGTAGGCTCCAAACCCATGCTGCGCCACACGCGCTGTCACCAGCACGCGGTCACCAGAGCACCCATGAAGGGCTTGCCTGGGGGACCCACCCCTGAGGCCTGTCCCTGGCACATCATATCCCCCACCGCCTTGGAGGACCCAGTGTTAGCTGGGCACCCTGGGGGTACACACCTTAGCCCACAAACTCACACGCCCACGTGGAAACCTCTCACACATCCGTGAATCGATGATGGGACAGACACGGTGTGGTCTGCCCACCTATGAGAGCATCACACAGCCAGGGACAGGAATGAGGCTCTGCGCTCACTCCCGCGTGACAAGAATCCTAAAGGCCACATGGCCTGGGCTCCCCTAGAGGACACACATCTCAGGACACACAGGCTCAGAGAGAGGGACGTGGCAGTGGGTTGTCCCATGGGGGACAGGGGTGGAGAGGAGGAAGGCGTGTGCGTGCACGTTGCGGGGCATCGAGCAGGTTCGGTCGCAAAGCTCACCGACAGAACCCTGCTGGAGCAGGCTGCGAAGTCGCGTGCGTCTCACGCTCACCGACAGAACCCTGCTGGAGCAGGCTGCGAAGTCGCGTGCGTCTCACGCCTACTTCCAGCTCTCAAAACTTGTTCTCCGCCGTGTAACCCAAACCAGGGTCAAACCTACATTTTCCCGGATTTATCTGTAAGGCAGAGTTCTGGAGAGCGAGAAGAGGGAAGATTCTAGCTGTTGGTTCACTGCCCAAATGACTGCAAGACTGTGCCCAGGGCCGGCCCAAAGCCAGGAGCCAGGAGCTCTGTCTGGGTCTCCCATGGCAGGTGCAGGGTCCCAAGGCTTTGGGCCGTCCTCCACTGCTTTCCCAGGCCACAAGCAGGGAGCTGGATGGGAAGTGGGGCAGCCTGTACTCGAACTAAGAGCCCATGTGTGAAACTAAGGCCACAGGCAAGTGGCTTCACCCACTTTGCCCCGATGCTGGTTCCTCACTTTTGTCTTAAGATGGACTTGAAGGACACAAGTCCCACCGCCCTGTGGCATGGAGTGGCACCTGAGGCAGGGCATTTGGCCCAGCAGGGACGATGTCCGCCTCCCACTCAGATGCCTGCCTTTCTTTCCCATGCCCAGCTCCCTGCCCATGCATACCTCAGCAGTAGCAGCTCAGGTACCAGGTGGCAGGAGGGGGTCCCTGCCCCCTGCCAGAGGGGCCCGGGTTACATCCCCACTGTGCCCCAACTGCCCCACATATTTGGGGTGTGTACTTGACGGTGGTAGAATTCTGCACTTCCCACCACCGCCCCCCTCCCCTATATCTCTGCCTCTTGAATTTATTATTCTTTAATGAGGGGTGGGCACAGAGGCACAGTTTCGCTAAGTCCCTGCTTGGGACACCTGCATCCCCTTTAAAAGCTGCGGTTCGAGACCCCGCTGCTCCACTTCCCTACTCATGCTCCTGGGAAAGCAGTGAAGGATAAGGCAAGTCCCTGGGCCCCTGCACCCCTCGGGCTCACCCGAGCCTGGCCCTCTCCAGCGGTGGGCATCGGGGCCCTGCTGCGGCTGCAGGGCGCGGCTCCGTGGCCCTCGAGCCATGTCCTTTGCCTCTTTCAGTCCACGCTCATCTCTCTGGGCTGTGACCTAAAAAAGAAAATCGTGGTCCAGAGGCAAGTGAGGCGGCCCCGGAATGGGGGTTGGGGGGCAGAGGACATGCATGGGGCAGGGGGGTGGCAAAGCCTGGAACCCCCATCCAGGTCTCGCCTGTCTGTGGGTGGCAGGGGCCCAAGCCCTTGGGCCATCCTCTGCTGCTCCCCCACGCGCATGAGCAGGAAAATGAATGGGAAGTGGAGCAGCCGGGGCTCGAACCTGGGTCCACGTGAAGCAGGCAGCAGCTGAACGTGCTGCAGCGCAGCGCCCAGGGCCCGGACAGGTTGGACAGCTCCTGCCCCATCATCTCTGGCTTGCAGCGAAATCACTGCCTGCTCCAAGGGTATCCTGGACCCCGTGGTGCTGCAGGACAACTACTCCTATGTCATCGAGAAGTGAGCCTGGGCACCGGGACGCCGCGAGGCCACCTCGCCTCGGGCGGGGGGCATCCGGACCGACTTCCAACTTGGCATCAGGCCGAGTGGACAACTGAGTCGGGTTGGGCCAGACAGGAGGGCCAAGGAGGGCCTCCGTCAGATACCCGTCCCCCTGGCTTGGAGCGTGGGCTGGGGTCGGGCTTGTGGAGGGGTGGGGTACCCCTCAGCCCCAGCTTGACAGATCTGAGAGCGACTGTGAGCAGCGTGCGTTTATCTGGTGCAAACCTCCATCCCCCCCCAGGCTGGCGCATGCCAAGCCTCTCCAACCGGCAGCCGAGTGGGGTGTGGCACTACACGTGGAGGTTTAGTTTCCTGTGCCAAAGCCCCCCCCCCATTCTTTATTCTTTAAGTTGTTAGCATTCAGGCTTTTGACCCATAGGTGAGGGGAGAGGGGAGGCCCAACCCACAGCTGGTGGGCACTGGCTTCCCTCGAAGCCCACCCACCCGTCTCGGTGTGAACCCCCGACCGGCACGCACGGACAGGGGGTCCCCCAGCTCCTTCCCTGCTCTCCCCTCCCCCTCCCCGCGCTGCAGGGAGTCCTACGACCCCAACTTCAGGGGGCGCAAGGCCGCCAAGGACCTCACCGTGTTCTACCCCTATGAGGACCTGGGCTGCCCGCGCCTCCTCTACTACGACACGCCGTGGCGGCCGGTGGTGGAGCTGTGAGAGGCGCCCCGCACCCCTGGGCCCGACCCCGACCCCCGACCCCCGGCCACCCCGGCCACTGCGACCCCCGACCACCCCGACCACCCCGGCCACCGACCACCCCGGCCACCCCGACCCCCGACCCCCGGCCACCCTGGCCACCCCGACCACCCTGACCACCGCGACCACCGCGACCACCCCGGCCACCCCGACCCCCGACCACCCCGACCACCCCGACCCCCGACCACCCCGGCCACCCCGACCACCCTGACCACCCCGACCACCCCGACCCCCAGCCACCCCGGCCACCCCGACCCCTGAACCCCCCATCCCTTCCACCTCCCTACCCATCTCGGCAGAGCCTGGGGTCGCCCGGTCGTGGAGCCGTGAGGCGCCCTGCAGCCTTCAGGCGTGTCTCCCAGAGAGGACGTCACTCCTGGGCGTGGCTCCCGGGTGGGCGTGTCTCTCTAGTGGGCAGGGCTCCGTGGAGGCGGAGCCGCCCGCAGCTCCACCCCACAACCCTGGGCGTGTCCCGGTGGGTGGGCGTGTCCCTGTGAGGGGGCGTGGCTCTGGGCGGGGTGTTTCTGGAGGGCGTGTCCCCTGTGTGGGGGCGTGGTTTCCAGGTGGGCGTGGCTCCCGCCCCACGCGCCTGCGCCCTTCCCGCAGCTGGCAGGCCGGGCAGTTCCAGGAAGTCGTGACCGCCGAACACGTGCTGCTCGAGGTCAATGGCCTCTTCACCTACTCGTACGCGCTGAGCGCCAGGGCGGCGGGCTGCACGGCGCAGCCGCAGAACTGGAGCACCATCCTGGGGGCGCACGCGGACGGCGGGCCCTCCTCCTGGAACAGGGAGGTAGGGGTGCAGGGCAGAGGCCACCGCCAGGGTGGGCGCACAGAGGGGCTGCAAGGACACTGCAAACCAGGGGACCGCAGACCAGGTGACCACAGAACAAGTGACCATAGACTGACAGAATGACCACAGACCAAGTGACCTCAGGCCACCAAGTGACCACTGTCTGACCGCCAGCCCCAGGCATGGACAGCGGATGCTCGTGGGCCCCACCCGTGACTCCTCAGCCTCCCACCCCTGCCACAGCTGTCCTCCAGCACCCACGAGGGTGGTGGGAGTGCCACGTCAGCACTGCCCCAGCGGCGGCATGGCCCGCTACGCCCTGACACATGACACACACGTCCCAGGACATGACCGGGAGAGCCGGATGGACATCGCGCTGAGCCTCGGGCCAGGAGGTTTCCATCCACAGACGCATCTTCCTCCCACAGCGTCGGAGACCCAGCCACAACCAAAGCCAGGAGCCAGGGACAACACTGGGGTCCCCCACACGTAGAAGACAGGAGCAGGGACCCCCCCCCATCCCAGCTGGGGGCCGCCAGGAGGCCTTGTCTGCTTCCTGTGTGCAACCCCACCAGCATGATCACCCGGGTCCACAAGTGCCTGTCCTCCCCGACCACTACATGGGAGAACCAGCTCCCAGCTTGCACCCTGGCTGCCGCAGGATCCCCCTGCACCCGGCTGGTGCCGGTGCCTGTGTGTGTGGGAGGGACCCCAGACAGCAAGGCCACCATCCCGTGCCACTCCTTCCCCAGAGCTACGTGAGCTGCCGTGACCCCAGCAACACGCAGCCCCTGCGGTGGCCCCAGGCCGAGTACCAGATCCTAGGCGGGTCTACCGACAATGAGATCATCTTTGAGCAACGTAATGGGATTTACGTCTTCTTCCTCGCAATCGTGGACCCGTACTACAGGTGTGTGTGGGTGGACGTGCAGGGCTGACCAGGCTGGGGTTGGAGTAGGGGGTGGGCAGTGCGCTCCCAAGAGGCGCCGGGAATGCCCGCCCAGCGGAGGGCATCCTGTCTGCACGCCCTGAGCGACACCTTGCATCCCACCCCCGGCCTGGGAAGATGAGGATGAGAACTGACAGACATACCAAAGAGGCCGGGGCGCAGGTGCCTGGCCCAGGGTCTAGGGGAGGGGGCGATGGGCCCAGGGGCCTCCATCCTCCCTGCCCCTTCCCATTCCTCCCCCCTGCAGCTACTGCCACCTGCACACCACCTTTAGCGTGTACGTCTACGGGGCCTACCCGCTGTTCAGCATCCCCTCGGACATAGCCATCGCCCTGCTGGTGGCGGCCATCCTGCTGGGCGTATGGCTCGTCTACTGGGTGCCCAAACTCAGGCACAGAGAGCTGGACCACAGCATCCAGGCGTCCCACCCGTGCCAAGACTGCCTGGGCGCCTTGGGCTGTGTCCACCAGCGACAGTGAGCGCTGAACGGGCAGCGGGCAACCCCACCTCAGTCCCTCCCGAGGAGGTGGGCGTCCACTGTGCCCCCACAGTGGCTGTTGTCTTATAATAATAAAAACTTGAAGCAGTAAGCGCCGTGTGTCTGCTGGGGGGGATGGGAGCTCTCTCTTTCCACCTCTTCAAGAACCCAAGGTACACGTGCCCACGGGCCCTTTAAGAAGACCCAATCTCCCTTCACCAACTAAGGATGCCCAGGAGGACAGCAAGAGGCCACTTCCATCACCGTCGCTCAGGGCCTGCCCTGTCCGCTGCCCCTCACCTAGGTTCCCAAGGGCGCCCTTCCCGTGCAGCTGCGGCCCCAGCCCCTGCACGTGGCTCCGTCTGCCCCCAGTCCACACCAGTGCGTGGGACCCCCGCCTCCCCCTCCCTTATGGGTTCCACTCGCAGCCACCGCCCCCCGGGCTGGCCACAGGCGGAGACAGAACTGAAAAGACCAAATGCACTTTAATGGGGGGCATTTCCAGGCTCGACTCTGGGCCCAGCCGCCGCCTGCTTGCTTCTACTCCCCGACTTGCCCTTCTTGGCGGCCGAGGTTCCCCCACCTTTCTTCCTGCTGGGGGGCTCGGGGTGCAGGCTGGGGACAGCAGTGGCGGCGTCTGCAGCGAGGGGCCCGGTGCCAGGCCACGGTGACGGCGGCTCCTCATCCAGGACCTTGAAGTTGAAGAGGCTGTCCACATTGGACACGGCCTCCAGGATCTCGGGCACGCTGTAGTCGAAGGAGAGCAGCTCGGCCGGCAGGTGCAGTGAGCGGATGTCACCTCCCGTGTCGCCGCCATCACCGTCTCCATCCCGTGGGGCTGCGGGCCTGGGCACGGGCACCTGGCACGGGGGCGCCTCGGGCTCAGGGCCGCCGGGCAGGCAGTCGAAGAGCTTCAGGGCGTCCTCCAGCAGCACCTTGTCCGGCAGCACAATGGCCTGAGCCGCCTCTGGGGCCTGCACCTCCCCTGACCCGGCCGCGACAGCAGCCTCAGCTGTCGTTGGTTCACCTGAGCTGGACACATACAGCAAGCCCGGCTCGCTGCGCTCGGTGGCCTCGGGGCCCTGGAACTGGCTGAGGCGGCCCTGCAGGTGGGCATAGGCGCTGGTGGGCAGGGAAGGCTCGGTGGGCAGTGTGATGACCAGCGGCGGTAGCTTGCTGTCCGGAGGCGATGATGATGGTGGTGGTGGTGGCGGCGGGGCGACCAGGCCTTCCTTGACCAGGGGCGGAGGCAGTTCCAGGAAGCCGGGCGTCCCCGCATCCCCCACAAAGCCCAGGGTTTCAGGGCCAGGCCCTTCTGGGGGTGCATAGTAGGGGAGGAAATATTGCGGTCCCCCAGGAGCCGCCGGGTAATGGGGGTACGGCAGCGGTGGTGGCTGGGGGGCAGGGGTCTTCAGATAGTGTTGGGGTTCCAGGAGGAAGCTGCCCCCTGCTGCTGGGGGAGCCGCAGCCGGAGCCCCCGCCGCAGCCACCAGCTTGTACAGGGTGGTCTGGCCGAAGTCAGCGGCGGCCCACTCTATGCGGTAGATGCGGGGGTCGAAGAAGCAACCGCAGGGTGCCATCTGGAAGCCTGCGGGGGTGGGAGGGGCCGTCACAGTCTTTGGGCCTCGCTAGTGGGGAAGATTCAGGTCTCGTTTGGGCCCTGGTGGGGTTCCCGTAGGGGTGGGGACCCAGGCACCGCTCCGGGTTTACACAGGTTGGGGAGGGGTCCAGAGCCCACCCGGCCCCAGGCTCCTCCTCCACCTTGGGGCTGGGGGCGGCCAGTACCTGCCGGGGGAGCCGGGAACACCTCTTTCTCCAGATTTGGGACATGGTACAGGTTTGAGGAGCCTGCAGAACAAGTGGAGGTGAGTTGGTGGGGAAGGGGGGCCCCAGCTGCTGGGTACCCCAGCCCGCTCCCACCCCCAGGAGCCCCCCTACATACCCCCGGCTGGAAGCGGCTCACTGCAGGGGCCAGGGGGCTGACCGGCTGGCCCCTCGCCGGCCTCCAGGCCTCGAGGACTGAAGCTGTCCTGCGTGGCGGCGGCAGGGGTGTGAAAGGATTTGGGGTGCTGCATGGGGCGGCAGACCGGCCCAGAAGACACAGAGGCGGCCTTCCTGGGGAGGAGGCCCACTCCCCTCTGGCTTCTGTTTGCCTGGTTGCCATGGCAGCGCGTTCTAGAGCGCCTGTCCACAGGCAGGGTTCTGGGCAGGGGGCTGGGATGGGGGGCGGTCAGGCGCAGGGCCCTGTCCCCCGTGTCCTTTCCCACGCAGCTCCAGGCGGGCCCACCTAGCGAGGCCCACAGGGGAGCGGCCACAGTGCCTGCCGCCTTTCCCCGGCCCAGGCTCACACGGCGGCAGGGACGGGACATGGCAGCTGGGGCGGCCGCAGGGACACAAAGAGGCCCGAGTCTGGTTTTAAAAGAATAAAATTTATTGGTCCTTCACGGGCGTGGGGAGCTGCCGGGGGGGCGGCGTGGTGGCCCCCAGCTACTTGTAGGCGTTGGCTTTGTGCTTCGGGAGGAAGACAAAGTTGGGGGGCACCGGGCCCAGGAGCATCTCACTGTGGGGCAGGAGAGGGCAGAGTCAGCCCACGGCCGCCAGCCCCCATGCCACCCCCGGCCCCACCGGCGCCTGCAGACCTGATTCGGATCCAGTCGGCGGCCTGCTGGCTGGCCATGAGCGTCTCCAGGTAGTCCCGGCCCAGATAGTATGGCGGCCACTCATTGATCCTCTGGGGAAGGCGTTCCATCAGGCCCACGGGCACGTACCTGAGGGCACGCGGTTAGGGCCAGCCCTGAGTGAGCCTGCGCAGGAAGGACCGCCTGCAACACACGCTTCACAGCAAGGCCCGCCCCAATGCACACCTGCACAGGGAAAGCCCGCCCCCAATGCACACCTGCGCAGCAAGGCCTGCCTCAATGCATACCTGCACAACAAGGCTCGCCCCAATGCACACCTGCACAGGGAAGGCCCGCCCCCTCCCACACACACCTGCACAGCAAGGCCTGCCCCCAATGCACACCTGCGCAGCAAGGCCTGCCCCCAATGCACACCTGCACAGCAAGGCCTGCCCCCAATGCACACCTGTGCAGGAAGACCCGCCTCCAATGCACACCTGTGCAGGAAGGCCTGCCCCCCCAATGCACACCTGTGCAGGAAGACCCGCCTCCAATGCACACCTGTGCAGGAAGGCCTGCCCCCCAATGCACACCTGTGCAGGAAGGCCTGCCCCCAATGCACGCCTGCACAGGGAAGGCCCGCCCCCAATGCACACCTGCGCAGGGAAGGCCCGCCCCCTCCCACACACACCTGCACAGGAAGGACAGCCACTCGAGCAAGAAGCGCCGTGTCTTTTCCACACCGCGCGTGTCGGAGCCCCAGTGCTCCAGGCCGTAGCTGGTGAAGTCGCGCAGGATGTCCAGGCGCTCGGCCGAAGAGATGTCCCAGTGTCGCTGTTCCTTGATCTCCGTGAAGAGCCAGGGTTTCAGCAGGGCACCGCTGCGCACGGGCAGGCAGGGCTCAGCGGGGCGCCAGCACCCAGCACACCCCTCCACCCGGCCCACGGAGGCCACGGGCACTCACCGGCCGATCATGACCCCTGCCACGCCCGTCTCCATGGCGCGGTTGGCGTCCTCGTAGGACAAGATGTCCCCATTGCCTGCGGGCAGACATGGGGGTGTTGGCTACGGCGGGGAGGGCGGGCGAGAGGCCGGGCGGGCCCAGGCTCCCCTGGCACCCACCAAACAGCGGCATGGGGCTGGCGGCGACCGCGCACTGCTTGATGTAGCCCCAGTCAGCCAGCTTGGTGAAGCGCTGTTCCCGGGAACGGCCGTGCAGCTGCGAGGGTGCGAAGGGCAGAGGGAGGCAGTGTGAGGTGCAGTGAGGAGGGCGTGGGAAGACGGGGGGAAGCCGGCGCCCCAAGACCCACCGTCACCAGGGCTGCGCCCCACTCCCTCAGGTCGGGCAGCAGGCGGTGTGCCAGGTTCACGCGCTCCTGGATGCCCGTGCGGATCTTCACTGTGAGCGGCACGTCCAGCACCTGCCGGACCAAGAGAGTGGGGCTGGTGGGCGGAGCCAGGCAGTGGGAGGGGCCGAGGAGCCAGAGGGTGGAGCTATACAGGGGGCGTGGCTGGGTTTGACAGGCAGGTGTGGCTCTGCAGGGTGGGCATGGCCTGCACCATGGGCATGGCTGGGGTTGGGCGAGCGCCCAGGTACCTGGTCCATTCCCCGGACAATCTGCTGGAACTTGGCTGGGCGGTTCAAGAGGGCGCAGCCCCCGCCCTGGAGAGACAGGGATGGGTGAGCGAGGACCCCAGATGAGTGGGAGGACCCCATGTGCCACCCCCCTCCGGCCTCCCCCCACGCTCCCATCCCCCTCAACCCGCAGCAGCTACCTTCTTGTACACGAGGTCGATGGGGCAGCCCACGTTCACATCCACAAAGTCCACCTCAACCGTGCGGTTCAGCAGCTCGGCGCACTTGGTCATGGAGTCGGGGAAGGCGCCCTCCAGCTGTGCGGGGTAGGGCAGGGACGGGTTCACCTGGCTGGACTCAGACAGGTGGAGTGCAGCCTGGAGCCCCACCCCACACCCCGGTCCCCTTCTGACCTGCACCCCGAACAGGTCCTCGCTCTGGTGCCGCTTGAGGAGGGCCCACTCGGAGGTCCGGCCCTGCAGCAGGTTGGTGCACACCGCCATCTCCCCGCACGTCACGTCCGCCCCGAAGCGTTTGCAGATCCGGCGGAAGGGTAGGTTCCCACACTGTATGGAAGGACACCCCCCCACACACACACATGAACACGCGAGGGCGCTGCCAGCGGTACTGACACCGGCAGGGGGACCTGCTGACCTGGCCGCCCCCCGCTCCACCCCCGCCGGCTCTCACCGTGGTAAGGGGTGCCAGGTACAGTTTGCCGTTGATGTCGAGCTGGAAGAGGGGTAGGGAAGCTTGGTGGTAAGCACCAGCTCTCTCTCCCTGACCCCACGCCCAGGGCTCCTGTCCGGCCCCACACCCACTGCCCCACATCCCCGTACCCGCTTCTTCTCACAGCGCCGTAGCTTGACCACGTCCTCGTCGGTGAGTGGTCCGCAGGTGCGCACGGGGCTGCTGCAGGCCGCGGGGGACTCCTGCCCGGTGCCCCCAGTGTCCCCGGGACCCCCGGTGCCTCCGCCACCACCATCACCACCACCACCGCCCCCGCCAGGGCTCAGCTGCTGCAGGGCCTGCTCGGCCGCCTCAAAGCGGACCAGGCGTTTCCGCAGCTGCTGCTGCAGGGCCTTGTCCAGGCCGTTGCGGATCGGGGTGGCCTGCGCCCAGCGCGCCACCACCTCTTCCCGCACCAGGTTCTGGCCGTCGGGGCCCAGGTGGGCGCCGCCGAAACGACAGGTGACACCGTAGGGGCAGCGGCCGAAGGTGTCGAAGAGCACGCAGCGGGGGCCCAGGTCGGCCGGCTTGGTCTCTAGGTAGGGGCCCAGGTCGTGCAGGAAGCGGCAACGGTCGCCGAAGAGACAGGAGGACGCCGACTCCTGGGGGTGCGAGTGGGGGGCTTGGCTAAGGGGCTGCACAGCCCCTCAGGTTCCCTCAAGTGGGCAGGCAGCACGCAGGGCCCCTGCAGCTGCAAGAGGCAGGTACCTGCCGCCCCCTCTCCCCGCCCTGCCGGGCACACCCCCACCTGGATGACGGTGGGGCACAGTCGGTACTGATCGTATTTGGTGGGCTTCGTGTGCGGCCGGCTCTTGTTCTGGCCGCGGGCTTTCTTCTGCTGCTGCTGCTGCTGCCGGGCCCCAGGGGCCGCCCCCACGGGAGGCTGCCCATCTTGCAGGCGGATGCGCTTGGCATCGGGCTCGCCCTCGGGGTCTCCGCCATCCACGTGTGCGGCCTCCTCCTCCTTCTCCTCTTCCTCCTTCGGACGGGCTTTCCCCGGCCTGTTGGCTTCCAGGAACTCATGAAAACTCTCCTTGGTGGTGAGGAACCTGCCAGGGAGGGAAACGGGGTTCGCACGGGGTAGGGCCGCCCCAGTAGCATCCTTCCTGCACCCCCCCACACCGCACCCAACTACAAGTCCCAGCATGCCTTGCAGCGAGTCCGCGCGGGGGTGCGGGCGGTGCTCCCGGCAGGCCTCGCGGCCCCCGTCTGTCCGTCCACCCCGGGGCAGCACGCGGCGGCGGCAATCGTGGCCGTGACCGCTCCCCACGCGCGTCCGCGGCCGGGAACTCAGGGCCCCGACACCCGGGGAGGCCCGGCCGGCAGCATCCCTGCCCCGAGCTCCCGGCATGCACCGCTCCGGCCGCGCTACGGGTGCCGGGAGATTTCTTTTTTCCTCCCTCCTTCTCCCCGTCCTCGCGGTCCACACCAGAGCCAGCCAGGGCTCGACTCACTGGGACTTGATGGACACCACGGCCCGGTCCGAGGCGCCGGCCGCCGCATCGCCGCCGCCGCCGCCGCCCCCGCCCTCGGCCGGGGCCTCTGCAGTGCCCTCCGCCATCCGCGCGCCTCACGCCCGCCGCCCTGCGCGCCAGAAAGGCCTTCCGGGTCACGCGCGCGCGGGGCTCCCTGCCCTTCCCCCCCGCCAGCCCGCGATCGGCCTCCGCCGGCGCGAGTGCGCATGCCCAGACCTCTGGGCCTGCCGGGCGGGGCCAAACCGAGGGGCGGGGCTGTGCGAGTGCGCGTCACGGGGCGGGGCCGAGGCTGTGCGTGCCCCCCGTTATGAGGCGGGACCTCCCCGGGGGCGGGGCTCTCCTTGCCCTTCTCTCTTGCCAGTCCACGAAAAGCGGCCGACGGCGCGAGTGCGCATGCCAGGGCCGCTTGGACCCCGGGTTAGGGCGTGCATGAGCGCGTCACTGGGCGGGGCCCGCCCGGGGGCGTGGTCTGCTCGGGGGCGGGGCTTGGCCTTATAAAAGCTTGAGCGGCGTCGGGAAGTCGCTTTACCCGCTTGACAGTTGTGTCTGTTATGTTGTCCTGATTTTTCATCTTTTTTTCTTTTTTTACAAGCTCCGGACGGGGAGGGTTGGGGGCGTTTCCTGCTGCTTTCAGGGCTGGGGAATCCAATCCATAAAGAGCTCCCGTTGGGCTAGAGGGAAGTTTGCCGGCAGGCTGGCAGGGTGCGGAGGGAGGCGCCCCTGAGTTGGGTGCAATAGAAATGGGGGTGACTGGGGGTGAGCACAGGGATGCGGGAGCTGGGGGGGAGGCGGGCCCGCGTCCCTCCACACGCCCAGGCCTGCCGTCCAGGGTTCGAATCCCGGCCCCGCCACACACTTGGGGAGCCGTGGGCGGGCCGCACTGGGAAGGAAGGGTCCTGGAGGGGCTGACCATCTCCTAGGAAATGGGGACCCCGAGGCCTGGCCTGCTCCCCTAGGTTCCCACCCCTGACCGCTCCGAGGAGCCCAACCCCCGTGCGGGGCAGCCGGGGAAGGCTCCCCGGTGGAGACCGAGCGCTGCACCCTACACAGCACAACCCCGTCCTGTCCCCAGGTCCTCCCACACCCCCAGCGCAGCTTCCTCTTCCTCACCCTCCAGCCCCCCTCGGCTCTCCCAGGCCCTGCCCTTGTTGGGGATCCCAGCAGGACCCCACCGGCCCTTCAGGAGCCGCCCAGTCAGGTACTGGGTCCCCCAGGGGTGCTGGGGAGCCGCCCATCGGGTACTTGGGTCCCAGTAGGGGTACTGGGGTCCCCCAGGAGTGCTGGGGAGCCGCCCGTCGGGTACTTGGGTCCCAGTAGGGGTACTGGGGTCCCCCAGGGGTGCTGGGGAGCCGCCCGTCGGGTACTGGGGTCCCACTAGGGGTACTGGGGTCCCCCCAGGGGTGCTGGGGCTCCCCAGTTCCCTAGACTAGGTCCGTCACTCTGAGGGAGGAAGCATGGAGGAGGAGGCTGCAGGACGCCCCTGGAGCAGGTCACCCCGGTTCTGTCTTCCGCTGCCCCGTTTCTCTCCCCGGGTGGGGTCCTGCCAGGTGCAGCCTGGGCTCCGTGCCCGCTGCTGCCCGCCCGGATTTGCAGCAGGCAGGCGGCGGCTGTTGCTGCTTTATCTGGCGCGCGCGGCAGCAGCTGCCCCTTATCTCCCCGGCTTCAGGACACAAGACTAAGATTAGGGCGGCTGGGGCCAAGGACACAGGGCGGGAGCGTGCGTGCCTGCGTGGCCATGCATGGCTGCATGTGCATGGCATGTGTGTGGTGGTTGCGTGGGCGTGCCTGTGGACATGTGTGCGTGCGCCCCTGCAAATGGTGACCCTGTGGGGGTACCCCCACGGCCCCCTGGGCCGCCCCCACCAGCGTCTGATGGTTTTCCCACCTTGCCTACCCTTGACCTGTGACCCCCAGCTGTCAACGACCCCCTGGGGGAGCCGGGGGAGCTGTTTTTACCATCGTCGCCTGGACCTGGACTGGGCAGCCTCCCTCTCGCCGCCCACGGCTGCCTGGGGGCCCTGCGTCCTGGTCTGGACCCTCGGGCTCAGCCAAGGTAGCTGCCTCCTGCTCTTGGTGTGGGGTGAGAAGGGGAATCCAGGCCATAGTGTTTTGTGTTCCGTGGCCAGGGAGCCCCCCAGGCTCCAGTCCTAGAGAACATTGCAAGGGAGCCACTTAGGCAAAGCACCCTGCTGGGTCAGGGACAGGGGACACTGTGGGCATGCGGCCATCTCCCCTCCCACGCCATGGACCCCATCCGGGAGGTCCCAGGGTATAGCCCCAGGCCCGCTGGACCCGGGCCGAGACCCCTGGCGCTAAAATGGAAACTTTTGCACGGGCCAAGTGCCTGGTATGTCAGCCGCCCGGCCTCCTGGAACCTCCGCCTGGGTTAACAGTGCTCGGACAGCGTGCTCCCCCACCAGGGGCAGCACCGGGGGAGGGAGGAGGAACGGGCAGGGGTCCAGCCCTGGGGGGGGGACGGGGCAGAGCGCTGTGGAGCTGACCATTCCCAGAACCCTGCCTGCCCACTCCTTGCTTGTGACCCGGGGCCCAGCCTGGGCCTCTCTGGGTCCCCAGGCCAGGGTTCCCCAATGTCAGCCGGCAGGGGTGGCAGGTGAGGAGGTCCTGGGCGCCAGTAAGTAATGCCCAGGGAATACAGAGGAGGTGAGACGGGAGCCAGGGCCTGGCCTGTCCTGGATACACGGACACCCACCAGCCAATACACTGAGCCCAGGGCTGCCCGCTGCACCTTTCCCAGCTGTTACCCCACTTCTGTGTGTGGTGATGTTTTAAAAATGCTTTAAAAACAGAGCATTTGGGGCCTGGCGTGATGGCCTAGCAGCTGAAGTCCACGCCTTGAATGCATGTCTGGGATCCCATATGCATGGTGGTTCTAATCCCGGCTGCCCCACTTCCCATCCAGCTCCCTGCCTGTGACCTGGGAAAGCAGTGGAGGACGGCCCAAAGCCTTGGGACCCTGCACCCGCGTGGGAGACCCGGAAGAGGCTCCTGGTTCCTGGCTTTGGATCAGCTCAGCACCAGCCATTGCAGTCATTTTAGGGAGTGAATCATCGGATGGAAGATCTTTCTGTCTCTCCTCCTCTTTGTATATCTGATTTTGCAATAATAAAAATAAATAAATCTTGAAAAAATAAATTACACATTAAAATAATAAAAGAAAACAACAGCATTTCATGACCTGGTGATTCCATATGAAACCGGTTCGAATCTCAGCTGCCCCACTTCCCGTCCAGCTCCCTGCCTGTGGCCTGGGAAAGCAGTGGAGGACGGCCCAAAGCCTTGGGACCCTGCACCCGCGTGGGAGACCTGGAGGAGGCTCCTGGCTTCAGTTCAGCTCAGCTCCAGCTGTTGCAGCCACTTGGGGAATGAGCCAGCAGATGGAAGCTCTTCCTCTCTGTCTCTCCTTCTCTGGGAATCTTGGCTTTCCAATAAGTCTTGAAAACAGAAAAAAGGAAAGCACTGGAAGTAGCCGTGTTTCTGGCAGCGCGAGCAGACCCTCGCAGCAGCCTGGCACCCCTGGAGCTCCCGGCCAGGTTCCCCACTGTCGGGACGGGTGTGGCTGTGTGTGCACCAGTTCCCGACAGGGCATGAGTCAGGACACGGTGCACCTGCCACAGCGCTGGGTTGGTGACCGGGAGGGCGTGGGTGACCAGGCGACAGAATGAGGCGGACCCTGTTGAGTGGGGCAATGTCTCCAGGTCTCCCCTTCTCCCCTCATGTGCAGGGGTCTCCCCAACTGTGGGTCAGGTGGGCGTGGCTCCTGCGTCCCCACCTCCTTCTGCCTCTTGTCCCGCCCCTTTCTAACCCCGCCCTGACCTAATCAGTCAAGTCCCCGTTGCCAGGGCGACCGGTTTCCCAGCGTCCACATGGTAAGCACATGTGCGTGTGTGTGTGTGTGTGTGTGTGTGTGTGTGTGTGTGTGCTGGCCGCCACCCTCCCCCACTCCCCGCCACGCGTCTGCAACCCCTCTGCTCCCCTTCAGGGCAGCGAGGGGGAGAAGGCGGTGCCGGGTGAGCAGGGCCACTGACAGGCAGCTGGCGACAGCTTAACTGCTGCGAGCTGGGGTGGGGGTGGGCAGACGGCTGGGCCTCCAGGCAGGCGCAGTGTGTGTGTGTGTGTGTGTGTGTGTGTGTGCGCATGGGGCCAAAGCCCCCGAGTGTGGCTACAAGGCGCTTACCTGGTGTATGCGTGCATGTGCGTGCACACGGGGGCCGGTGTTCCAGCAAAGCCCCTGAGCCTCCAGCTATGAGGTGCACACCTGCTGTGTGTGTGTGTGTGCGCACACGCGTGTGCAGGCGGCAGGTGTTCCTGAGTCTCCAGCTATGAGGTGCACACCTAGTGTGTGTGTGTGTGCACGTGCAGGGGGCAAACGTCCCAGCAAAGCCCCTGAGCACCCAGCTACAAGGTACACACCCGGTGTGCACGTGCGTGTGTGTGTGTGTGAGCGCGTGTGCGGGCAGGAGGCGCCCCTGAAAAGTCCGGGCGGATGTGAGGGTGGCAGGTGTGTGCGGTGACTGCAAAGTGAACAGTGGGATGGCCCTGCCCGTCGAGGCTAGCCCGTCATGGTAGATAAACTGAGGCAGCGGGAGGAGTGGAACAACTCCCTGCCCACACAGCGCACAGGTCCCCTCCCGTCCTCAGCTGGGCCGCCCACTCCTGCTGCACCCTGGGGTCCCGCACAGCCCCCGCAGGAGGGGCAGGCAGGCCTGCACCTCCCCAGGTGGCTTCATCAGATGTGTGTGCTGCGCAGGTGGCGGGGTGAAGGGGGATCCCCAAGAACTCCCGGCAGTCCCGGCCCCTCCAGCAGGAGCCTGCGTGCGTGGGGGCCGCAAGCGGCTGGGTGTTTCCCGGGAACCGGAGCAGGGTGGGCGGGACGGGGCCAGGTCCCTTCCCGCGGCCGCTGGAGTCGCCAGAGGGCGCCGTGGGAACGCGCAGCCGTCTGGCAGGGAAGGGTTGGGGGGCGGGTTGAACGCTGGGGCAGGTGTGTGCGTGTGTTTGGGGGGGCGCAGATAACATAGGGCGCCACGGGTCTTGGGACACAGAAGGGGGCGCACGTGGGAGCCCGGGG